ATGAATAGGAACCCTTTTGAATTCACAGGAGTGCTGTTAAAACCTATAAAGAAGTAACGTGGGCCCTTTAAAACAAAAAGAGTTGCACTGATAAAATTGCAATGAACCCTATTAAAATGAAAATTATTAAGAATTACAATAGAAAAAATTCGAGGCCAATTGAAATGAATAGGGAACAATATTCAAAAAATAGTAGGAGCACTGTTGAATCTAGTAGGAATCCTATGAAAATTATTAGGAATCCATGCACATGAATGAGAAACCCTGTTAAAATGAATACGAAGCCTATTCAAATTAATCAGGAACCTATGTACATGAGTAGGAAGCTTGTCAAAGCAAAAAGAGTCCAATTAACAATTGTACGAAATCTTGTTAAATTGAATAAGAAGCCTACTAACATCATAGGGATGTGTCTAAAATTTGTTATGAAGCTTATTAAAATTCTTAGACTTTCTATTCAAATTACTAGAAATAAGAAAGCTACGAAGAATCCTTTTAACACTACTTGGAATCTGATTAAAATGAATAGGAATCAATATCAAATCGAACAAATTAATAGGCACCCTTTAATAGGCATCCTTTAGAATTTAATACGAACCCCATTAACCAAATACAGGAATCCTATTCAACAACAATTTGAATGCTAGTAAAATTACTCGGAACCCTATTAATTTAATAACAACCCCCATTAGAGTGAACTGGAGTATTGGTAAATGTAATGGGAAACTTAATGAGTAAGATTCACAAGACTCATATTTTCCGTCTCTAAGTTTAAACTGTCACCTTTTTCTCGAAGAACCCCCATTAAAGTGAACAGGAGTAATATTTAATTTGATAGGAAGCCTAGAAAGTAGTAAGGAACCCTACAAAATTTAATGGGTAAGATTAGTAAGACTCTAATTTTCTGTCTCTAATTTCAAAATGTCACTAATGTCACCTTATTCTCGGCTCTCCGAATGTAGAATTCCAGAATTCCAGAATTCCAGAATTCCAGATTTTTCAGGGGCCCCCAGTTCCAGAATTCCAGATTCTGGAATTCTGGAACTGGGGGCCTCTGAAAAATCTGGAATTTTGGAATTCTGGAATTAGGGGTCTCAGAAAATCTGGAATTCTGGAATTCTGGAATTCTGGGTCTCTGGGGAGAGGTTTTCAGAGTGTACGATAGGAAAACATAGTAAGACGTGGGTTTTGAGGGGGGGGGGGGGGTAGCATATATATATATATATATATATATATATATAGTCTAAGTATAAGAAGAAGTACAAGTATAAGTATAAGTGTAAATGTAAGTATAAGTACAAGTGTATGAGTGTATAAGTGTATAAGTGTGTAAGTGTATAAGTGTATAAGTATATAAGTGTATAAGTATGTAAGTATTACTTATATAAGTATACAAGTATATACGCATATTAGCATATAAGCATATCAGTATATAAGTGTACAAGTATATAAGTATATAAGTATATAAGTACATAAGTACATAAGTGTATAAGTGTATAAGTATATGAGTATATGAGTATGTAAGTTTGTAAGTGTATAAGTGTATAAGTGTTTCATTGCATCAGTATACGCATAAGCAAAAGTATATATGTATATTATAAGTATAAGTATGAGTATAAGTGTAAGTGTAAGTAGAAGTTTCAGCATAAGCATGAGTATAAGTAAAAAGTATAGGTAGAAGTATAAGTACAACGATAAGTACAAGTACAAGTACAAGAATCAGTACAAGCATAAGTATAAGAGAAGTATAAGTATGAAACTAAGTAGCACTGTAAATATAGGTATAGGTATCCCACTTGCTAATGTACTTACACATACATATATACCCATACACTGTGGTTGCCTCCAAAGACCTCTCCCCTCCCGACCCCCGCCCCCCTCCTAACAAGCCATACAGCCACCCTAAACCCTAAACCCTAAACCCTAAACCCTAAACCCTAAACCCTAAACCCTAAACCCTAAACCCTAAACCCTAAACCCTAAACAGGACGCGTCCGTGGCTGCGCGTCTTGCCGTGGACCTCCGGGATGTGAAGAAGGCGGCGGGTGATTCAGGGCTCAGGGTTGCAGGTTTGTGATAATCTTTTCTTACAAAACAAACCGTTTCATGCTATTTTAATGTGCAAGGTGGCTTGATGCGGTTTTTTCATGTCTTTTCAAACCACACTCTTGGCTCAACGATTACCGAGATTGTTTTGTGACTTTTCCCATCCATTTTGTTTAGCGCTGTGGGGTGCAATTTCTGGAGATGGGCAGGGCCGGGCTCGATTTGGGGGGGATGTGGCTGGCTCTGAAGCGTACGGGTAGACTTGATCATTCTGAGCCCGAAGCCTCAAATCCTGAACCCTAAGCCTAAGCCCTGAACCCTTGAACCCTGCACTTAACAATCCTAACCCCAAACCTGCAAGGTAGAGGCAGCAGCGGAAGCTCAGGGTGTTCCCTCCCCTCCGCTGGAGTTGGTGCAGGTGTGGAGAGTTCAGGGCAAGCCTCTGGTTTAGGTGTTGGGGTAGTCAAGGACTTGTTGTGAAGAATTCCGGGGTGCAGTGGCTGAGGCTTAGGTTGTGATGTCCTGATCGCTCACCAGTGATTTCCGGGCTTGTGTTCTTGGACCGCTCGAAGTTTTGGTTATTCCCTCCAGTCGGATGATCACGCACAACACCCTGTGTGTACATCGGTATTTACAGTGTTTCGTGTGTGTCGCATGCCGAAAACACCGGGGGGCGCAGTGTTTCGGCACCTATTCTTTCAGACGTATGGTTTTGCCTCGGTATTTACAGTGTTTCGTGTGGGTCGCATGCCAAAAACACTACAAGAATGCAGTGTTCTTGCACGGCTGGAGGGTGTTTCGTGTGGATCAACTGATGCAAACACTGCTTGATGCTGTGTTTTAGCACGTGTTGCCAGTCCGTGCGACTGGCCAGAGCACCCATGCCCGCGCGATGAGAACGTCCGTGTTGCCAGTCCGTGCGTGTTACCAGTCCGTGCGAGTGACCAGAGAACAAACCATCTTGGAGGCTCTGCATCTTTATCGTACAGAAAAAGCCGGCCTTGTGGGATGCAATCCGTCGCACTATTGCGATCTCACGCACGATGGAAAGTGGCTGTTTTGAAGGGCTCGAAGCGTGGCAGGCGCAGCAGCGAAATCGAAAAACAATTCGCGACTTTTGACAAAGATTGGTGTGTAGCCTGCGGTATGAATCACTCGGCAGGGACACCGGTTTCAGCATTCTGTTGTTGTTTGCGCGTGCACGTGAACATCCTCATGGTGCGATGGTTATTACAGTACTCTCCATCTGAACTCCATCGCAGCTTAGTGTGGTGTGATGTGGTGTGTTTTCACACGACGGGGGCTAACGGCCCCTGTCCACCGTGACGTAAGGCCCCCAATGTGGCGGTGAAGCTGCACACGATGCTGGCAACTCGGATGCAGCAGTTCAGTGCGCCGTACGGCTCTGAGCAGGAAACGCACCACCCTTGGCGCCTAAGCTTCAGGGCACTGCAGTGGGGATGAGTCGGATTGAGGGTTGGGGTTGAGGCCTCGATATTCGCACGGTGTGGAATCCCCAGAGCAGACAAACACCTCAAAAATTCTTGGAAGTTTGTTCGGTTTTGGGCTTTCCGCTTGGGGGTTGGCATTGACTCCAGGAGCTGCCAGAGAATGTGATGACAGCGCCGACGCCGGAGCACCTGTCTGCTGCGAGCCCTGGCTGCAAAGCAGGGCGCTGGCTCGCTCCCGAAGGTTCAGGTATGAGACGATAGCAGTTGAGGGCTCCTCAAAATGTAGCGACCTTTAAGCACTCCCCTACCATGATCGCACACCTCTTCGATCGACCTCGCCCTCCCTTTCATCTAGCAGTCAAGCCTGGAGAGGCTCAGCCAGCGCCTCGGCGTGGCAGCCAGGGCCAATGTGCTGGGCGTGCATGAGGCGCGCCATAGTTCAAGCCAAGCAAGGCGCAGAGAACCATTGATTTCTTGCCGTAGGTGCTCGAACAGAGGATGCGTCCAAATGAGATGCCGAAGCCAGAGGCCATGGAAATCTGTTCACATAGACCCAACTCCTGCTTATGCTCTCCACTTTCTGCGACATTCCTCCCTCTCCCTCCTCCTCCGCCCACTCTGCCCTCCCTTTCCCCAGGCATCTGCACTTCGCAATTCACGGGTTTTCATAGACTGAGACCTTGCCTTGCAATGTAGCATTGTAGCTTGCCTTGGAGTAAAGTTATTTTGTACAGTTTTCGCGCGGCACACGGAGAAGGAATGGCTTTCCTTGTCCGTCCTGCTTTGCACGTATCCGGGTCCTTCAGAGTCAGTTATTAGCCCCAAACCTAGCCTGTCTCAGGCAACCGCCGGCACCACGTCCCTTGCGACCACCCAAGCAACCACGACAACGACCACGACAACGACAACGACTTCGACCACCGTGGCAACCACCACAGACATGCCAGTGAGCACGCTTGGGGGGCTGGGATCCAAGTTTCTGCTGGTTGTGGTGTGGGGCTGAGAGGGCTGGGTAGGAGTCGCATCCTTGTGGATGGTTTTGAGGAGCCAAGGATCAGGGCGATCTTACCCACTGGTCTGGGAGGCCCAAGTCGTGAGTAGTGACCTAGTGAACATGCCAGGCAGAAGCCTGTCTACGGCACCGCAGAGGCCGAGGCCGGGTCCCCCTGTTGGATTCTAAGGCCTGCAGGGCCTGCAGGAAGGTATTAGATTTTTCGGCCACTGCCGCCTGTAAGATTGCGTTGATAGGGCCCTCCTTGCCGCGCGTACTTGTGCTGCTCATGCCTCGAAGATCACAAGCTGTCCCTGCCTTTTCATTGCAAAGCTCAAGGTTGCATTGGCGCATGCTTTGTTAATCGGTCCGTGAAGTCTCCTGATGTATCCTGCAAGTGTGCTGCGACCACTACCAAAGCCGGGTAACGAGTGACCGGTGTGATGAAGTCTGCTTGACCGCTTCGTGGGTGATGTCGGCTTGTTTTGGGTCCTTGGCACCAGAACCTGATGATGTATGTCATCCTGGTGGACATGAAGGTGCAGGTGCCCGACTGCGCGAGGGATCGGGTTGCCAGTTGCCCATATTATCACAGCATCGAGCCAGAGCAAGTGTACGGATGCAGTAGCCGCGGCGCCCTCGCCTCAGGATGCTCGCACGTTCTTTTGCAGGACCTTAAGCAGTTCGATGGGGCGGCCTTCCTTGATGCCTTCGCCCATGAAGTGGCTGCTCCCAGGACGGCTTTTTTCGCAGCTCTAAACTTCCTTTGTGCTAGCATGCGCCAGGCACGTTTGTAGTGCCTGACAGAGAGCAGAACATGCCAGCGAGGAGTCGCGTCTCGACCGTCCAAACGCAGTTCCAGACCAAGGCAACGCCGTGGATTCCGGGGAGATTCGGGGAATATATTGGCCATTTCGGTATGGATGATGGGCACAGTACTGGCGAGAGGACTTGCAGAGGTGCTCAGACAGTAGCATCCTTTGCCATCTCCCTTCCAGGTTCGCTACCTTGTGCCTGCTTGGGTGTCTGCCAGCTTCCTTCGCCCAGCGTTGGCGGAAGCCATCGGCGCACCGCTAAAGGCCATAGAGGCCTGCACCTTTGGTGGGGGGGGGGACTTGGGGTTTCGGGCGACCGCAAGTCTTGATATTCAACCCTCGCAGGTAGCAGACCGAAGAGGTGTCCATCACAAGAAAGCACAAGACACTTCACAAGACCCAGGACTTATATGCCTTTTCGCACGCATGAACGGTGTGGGGAGGTCACGCTGGCTTCGACGCGACGCCTTGTGGAGGCTCGTGTCTTCTGAAGTGCTTCTTTTGCTGGAGGCAAGCAATCCCGAATGCACCAGGCCAATGCTGCCGCCCAACATGTTCTGGTCGCCGTGGTCAGCACAGAGGTGGGCACTGGCAGCACTTGATCCTAGGGTGATGCTGCTATATTCTGCTATCATCATCATCATCATCATCATCATCATCATCATCATCATCATCATCACCGCAATTTTGAAGCGGTCTCCAAGTACGTTTTTCCATGGGTACCCGATGATGATGCTGAGTAGGTGGATGAGAAGAGCATGATGTATTTGAGATGCAACGACAGAAGTTCTTAAAGGGTTCTTTGGTTTAGAGACGGGACTTAAGGGCTTGGAGATGAGAGTTGAAGCTTGAAGGGCACGAGAGTTTTCAGGTCACAGGGCTTCAGCTGCTGTTTGCTAACTTCTGCACCACGCGACCTGATCTACCTCGATGTGCAGCCCAGCTTAGAGCCCTAGACCTAAAGTTCTTAGTCTCTAAGCCCGTTTGAAGCCCTAAGCCGCAAGCCCGGAAGTTCCCGGCGTCTACCTTTTTCAAGCCCCCAAGCTCTGAACATCTAGCCTTCCGAGGCAGCATCCACGGCTGTGCGGCTTGCGCAGGATCTCTGGGACCCGGAGAAGGCGTGCTATCACCACAAACAGTTTTTTGGTTCGTCCTCTTATTCTCATGAAGCTTGTCTGTGGCTGTGTAACACTTTAGTAGGGCTTGTGGGCTCTTCGAGTTGGAGTCAAGGGCTGCGAAGGAATGGTGGCCCTAGGTTGCTCTGAGGCTTTGTCCAAACGCGCCGGCATTCGCGGTATACTCTCCGTAGAACAGAGCAGTCTACGCCGGACGGACAGGCCCTGATGAATCTTCCGACATGTAAAGCGTCTTAACACCACATTGTGCACCAGAACTCTTTTCGCTAGCTTTCTCTCTTTGGGGCATTAAACCCCTTGTAGAGGTCGTGGCTGCAGCATCAACGCGCGGCCAACCTAGACCGGCGCTGAAACTGGAAGAGGTGGGCTACTTTGGGGGCATCATTAGTAACCCTAAATATAACCTTAGGTTTCGGGAGTGGGTTCAGGGAGTTCTTTCGAGGCCTTGGGAGGGGTTCAGTCGTTGAGAGTTGCTGGGGAACCCTAAGCCCCAAGCCCTGTTCCTTCGGCTGTGTGGGAAAGAAAAGACTTGAATCATTGCATGATTGGGCACTTAGGATAAAGATCCTACAGTCGCCACCTACAACCAATGGCCTTCTTGTCAAGCTATATACATATACATATGTCTATATATATATATGTATAGATATTGTTAATACTGCCCGCATTCTCATGGTATCCCGCAGATATCTCTTGGAGTGCCCCATCGTCAGTCCCAGATGTTCGCTACAGAGCCCATCAGTAGCTTCGTTTTATGGCGGGCTGCTGTCGGGTGCTTGCAAGTCGGATGTTAGAGCTTAATCTCCGCCCCAACTTGCTGCTTGCATGAAGGCCCCCAGTGTGGCAGTGCAGCTTCGCACGATGCTTGTGCCCTGGCTGCGCACTTTATAGGGATCGCGGCAGCATGGAAGACCTTCCACGGAAACAGGTGAGAAACCCTGAGCACGAGCCTTCAACTAGGTCTTAGCTGCTTCGAACCAGAAGCCTTATGTAGGGGAGGTGTCCCTGGCTGCTTTCGAAATGTTAGGTTTCCATACATAAAGCCTAGACCCATCTGATTCTCTGAGCCCTCAGCCCTAGCGTCTGCTTAGTCCTTCAGGAGCTACCGCAGGGTGTACTGACCGCGCCCATGCCGAAGCACCTCTCTGAAGAGAGCCACAGCTGCAATTGCTTCGTGAGGTTGGTGTCCGAGTTGCCTATGTATCTGGGACTTTCCAGCTCTTCACAAGTTGCATTGGGATCGAAGCTTTGGCCCCTATCCAGCCCTATCAAGCCCTATCAAGCCCCAAAGCCCTATTCGAGGCTGACCCGACGCCTGGGCGTGGAAGCGACCGCCGATGTTCTGGGCGTGCGAGAGGCGTGCCACACGGCCCCTCGTGGGCCTACTGCCCGGTACCATGACCGTAGACCGTGACATCTCGGGCCAAGTCCTACGTCCCAAATCTAAAAATGCCTTGCAGCCGATGGGGAACCTGGGTTGAGGGCTTTGCTTCTTGCGAGAGTCTGAGGGGATTCCTGGGGGCATAATGGGGGCCGGGGGGACACCGTCCACTGGGCTTCGTTGTGCTTGCTTTGGTCGGATCAGCAGTGGATGCTAGGAATGATAGTTAACATGCTTGCAATTGGTTAGGATTCTTGAAGGTGTATCCCTAAACCCTAAACCCTAAACCCCAAACCCTAAACCCTACACCATAAACGGTTTGGGGTTGTTACGGGTTGTTCAAAGAGCAGTGCAGTGCAGCTGCAGGTGATCGAACAGAGGAGGCATCCGGATGAAGTGACACAGCCACAGGCCATGGGGATTCTCCAACACTGGGCATACAGTAAACTCCAAAAAGTTGGAACATCCTTGTCCCCATACCCCAAAAGGTATACTGACTGGAATCCCAGCCCGAATCATCCTTGAACCATGCTCCAACTGTCTGGAGTTTATTATGTGCAGCCGCTGCGCAATCGAGCTTCTCAACGCGCTACTTCTGAGTAGGGAATTGGGGAATCCGATACCGTATGTTCCTTCTACATGAACCTTTAAGAGGTTGTAGACCACGGAATCTGAGAGAGTACTCGGTACGCGCCGCCTCTCGGCCTCCAAACGCTTTATGAAATCCATGACTCATTCGGACAAAGAAGGAACCACTCCCCATCCCCTTAGGGCTTTAGCATGTTAAGGGGTTGAGGGCCTTTCAAGAAGAGGGGTATCCCTGCTATACCCCAAATAGAATCGAGTCCCCTTGAAAAGGGACCCCCCAAAATGGGTACCCCTGTGTTCCGGAAAGTTCCCCCCCAAAATGCACCCGAAGCCCAGGTGTCGCAGACTCCGGGGCTCGGCCCGCTCTTCCACACCCGGGCCCGGCGGGCACCGCGGCCGCCATGGAGAGAGAGTCCTTTTCCCTCCCTCAAACCCTATACCCACAGCCTAAGCCCTAAACCCTAAGCCCTACTCCCTATAAACCCTAATCTTTTTTCTGGTCACAGAAATTCTGGTGTGGGCAATTTTCTCAGAAGCTCCCTTTGTTGGGCTTGGGGGGTCGTAGGGCTTCGTCGCCCCTTGATCCTAAAACCCCGTGAACCCCTACGAGGCAGCTGTGGCCTGAACCCTGATCTCATGCTTGTCTGCCCTGGGAAGCCTCGACTTCGAGACCAAAGCACCCTAAGGCCCTCAACATCCCTCAGCCCTTCTCCCGCCCCCTAAACCCTAAACCCTAGACACTAAACCCTAAACCCTCAACCCTAATCCCCACCCCCCCCCCCCAACCCTGAAAGCCAGATCCGCATCAACAACCTGGGCGGGCTGCGGTCCTCCACGGAGCCAGAGGAGATGGGGAAGGTTTTAGGATGTTCCACCTTCTTTTTTTGGGTAGCAGCTCTATTGTAGTGGGGGTTTAGGATTTAGGGTTTAGGGTTTGGGGTGGGGGGGTGGGAAGGAAGATCTAGAGCTTTCATGGTCGTCTGTTCTCTTGACTTACTGGTGCTGGGGAGTGTCTTACTCCCCCTTAGCACCAGCGCTGGGGAGTGTCTTACTCCCCCTTAGCACCAGCAAGAACATGAAGACGGGGGCTAGGATGTTCCCTCACAGAATGCAAGTCTCACATCGAGATTCGCTGATACGCAGAGTATGAGAGTGAAGGTAGAAAGGCTTCACGATCAGGCCCCTTCCTTGGTACCGTAGCTGTATGATACCAGAGACCAAAAAAGAGTCCACTCCTGGATTGCGGAAGGCATGAAGGGCTTAGGATGCTCCCCTTATCTTAACGGTTTGTTGACATGAAGCTGCACAAGATCCTTGGAGTCCTCACACCAGGAGCTTCGCTACGGCCATGTGGCCTGGGCTGCTGGAAAGGAGCTAGACCTTGCGAGGGCCACGGCTGGGTTCCTCCCCTTCCCCCCCCCCCCACCCTAAATTCTGTTCAGCTTAAGGGTCTATGAAGTTTGGGGTGTAGGCTCGTTTGAAGAAACAGTGGGCCTGTAGGGATGTCCTAGATGGTGTCTCCGTGGAGCGTAGATGCCAGAACCCGAAGCACCCGTTACGCAACACACAGGGCTTGTGTCGCACTATTATGGGCTCTGTTGCGGCAACCTGAGCTGCTGTACGGTTGGTTGTATGTTCCTGATCGCTTAGGGTGTCCATATTTCGTCGACGGCTTCGGCCCGCCCGAAACTTAGAAAGTTGAAGGTTTGTCAGCATGGTCGAACATTTTGGGGGGCTTGTTCTAGGGTTGAGAATCACGGGGCTTTTGGGGTTAGGGTTGTTAAGGCTTCAGGGGCCACTGCAAGATCCGAACTTCCAGGGAAGCCCTTTGCTTTTAAAACCCTTAAAGGCCCTGACCCAACCTTAAAACCCAAGCCCTGAGAACCCCCAAAGCCTTAAAACCCCGTGATGGCCCTACATAGACCGGAAACCTAACCCCTGAACCTTACACATGAAACCTCAAAATTTTGGATGCCCTCAGGTGATCCGCGTGGCTTCAGGGCCCTACAGACCCCGTGACCCTGCATTCACGGGCGCCGACGGGCACCGCTTCGCAGCGGCTGTCAACGCGCGGAAGGGTTGAGGGTTTGGGGCTGAATGAGGGGGGTTTGAGGACAGGTTCAGGGGGGGGTGTGGGAGGGGGGGGGGTTTGAGGCGTTTAAGGATTGAGGGTTCAGAGTCTAGGGCGCTGGCTTCTGGATCTGAAGGCTTGACGTTCGGGTGTTTTGGCGGGTGCTTGCCATTTCCAGTGAGGGCCGGGGAGGGGGGGTGCGGGCAGGCTTCTTTATTATTCGCAGTTGGGGGTTTACAGTTGCCCACCGACATCGGGGCGTTGATTTTATCCATGCCAGGGCGCCTTGAAGTTCAAGCCGCAAACTTTTGAGTTGTCCTCGCCTAGATGCTTCTATGTGACGTCAGCATGGTAGCATTGACTGTAGCGATCATGAGCGCAGAAGCAGAAGTATAGCAACATAAGCAACAAGCAAAGTAGCACTCTGCCCAGAACAAGCAAGGGCCGTCAAAGTCAGGGTGCCAAGCTTCTTCGTGAGGAGAGCCATTTAAATTTGGATGCTTCAGTGCTGCACCATTGTGGGGCAGGTAGCAGACGGTGAGGATGTCCACTTGGAGGTCTTCGTTGTGGAGGAGGCTCCGTCAAGCCAGCCTTCATGCCCACCAATTAAACCCCAAACCCCAAACCCCAAGCCCCAAACCCCAAGCCCCAAACCCCAAACCCCAAACCCCAAACCCTAAACCCTAAACCCGAACACCCCAGGGCTTTCAGGCTAAAGGAGCCAGAGTACGCACCTCTGAGGACTCTGACAAGGTGGTCCACCTTCCACAGTGGTATGTTTCCGTCTTTGACATTGAGGCGCGAGCCCCAAATGCCCCCGCATTCCGATGTGTTTCTTCCCTCCAAGCTCCGCTCACTGAGACCTGTAGAAGCGATGCCAGATGCTCTCATTCTGTGCCTACTGATCGGTGTTCTCTCTATAGCCTTCTAGCCATCGGAGAGAAACTGCGCGGGGCTTGTCCAACCCCTGCGGGACGCGCTTTCTGAAGCATTCATACCTCGGAACCGGCTTGGACCCTTAAATCTCGGAACCCGAAAGCCCTAAAACCCATCCGAAATCCTAAAACCCCTGTGACGTGTGAGGACCCAGTGCCGGCGCTCTCCGCACCGAGGCAGGTTGAGGTCCTCGGGGCCAAGGCGCCCGCCCACACTGCGTCGAGTTGGCTCTTATGATGTTTAGCTCAGGGTTTAGGGTATGTTGATCTAGATCTTTGATCGTGCTTCCTTTGTGGGCCCCGGTGCCCGATTTCAAGAGCTGCCCATATCGGAGTCTTCTCGTGTTGGTCGCTGCAAGCTGTGGAGCGCACTCTTGCGAGCGTTGCAGGCAATGCTTTGGCCGAATGGCACCCATGTCGCCCTCGAGGTGGGAAACGTGCAGGTTCAATCGCAAGCCCTGAATGCTGGCTGCGCGAAGATCTGGACCTTCAACCCCCAAGCCTTGAAAAAGAATACTGATTCTCCAAGCCCAAAACCACGCATATCACAAGCCGTCCAAGCCCCGGAAACCCCAAAAACACGAAAAGCATCCCAACCAAGCCCAAGGACCGTCGGGAGCACCCTGAAGGCACCCTTCAAACCGCACCTGAAGCTTTTATAGACTTCCATGAACCCCCTAATCGGCCCCTAGATCCTACAGAGCCCACGCAGCCCATTTCAGGAGCCCTAAACCCTAAACCTTAAACCCTAAACCCTAAACCCTAAACCTTAAACCCTAAACCCTAAACCCTAAACCCTAAACCCTAAACCCTTAAACCCTTAAACCCTAAACCCTAAACCCTAAACCCTAAACCCTAAACCCCAAACCCTAAACCCTAAACCCTAAACCCGAAAAGGAGTGAAGGGTTGTTAAAAAAAAAAAAAAACACCTAAACCCTAAACCCTAAACCCCAAACCCCAAACCCTAAACCCCAAACCCTAAACCCTAATTCAGGAGCCCTGGGCCCCTGAGGGACCCACGGCCTGGTTCCCGCTTGGCTCCGGAGTGGCGCGGCTGCGGCTGCGGCCCCGTCTGAGCGGAGGCCGGGTGCGAGAAGGGGCTTCAGCCTCTTGGGGTCTTGGGGCTCTTGGGGGCTCTTAGGGCTCTTAGGGCTCTTAGGGCTCTTAGGGCTCTTAGGGCTCTTAGGGCTCTTAGGGCTCTTGGGGCTCTTAGGGGTTCTTAGGGCTCTTCGGGTTAAGGGTTTAGGGCACCCTGCCATAAAAACCCTCGGCGTCCTCCCTCTCCCCCGTCCCCCGACCCTACCAAACGACCCAAACAGGATGGTAGCTGCTCATTCAATTTCTGTTCACCAGGGTTCTTACATGCTGAAATCCATGCTATTGGCGTGGTCTCTAATGAGCTGAAGGGTCCATGAGCAAGAAGGGGATGAGGGAGGTAGATAGTCATTTGAAAACGGTAATAGGATTTTCGTCACAATGTTGTGTGTTTGTTTGTTCGTTTTTTTTTGTTTTGTGTGTGTGTGTGTGTGTTGCTCTGGTTTTTGTTTTTGTCGCCACCTCCTTTCTGCAGGAAGGCTTGTAAAGGCAATTAAAATTAGCTAGTGAGGCACATGCTCTCTTGCTCTCTCTCACACATAGCCGCACGGCAATCTTGGGATGATGGGCTGCACATTGGACACTGGGAAGCATCGGCATCTGCTCACTGTATTCTCGTTTACCTGAGAATGGAAGGAAGCATCGTGTCTGCATCGGACGAGATTTGCTTTTTCAAGTTGGAAGCTTGGGGTTTCATTCTCCCGATGCTGATGTGGGTTTCTGCTCAGAAAGCCGGAAGTGCAAGAATCTCCGCCCCCTAAACCTCGAACCCAGAAGGTGCCGCTATGTCCATTGCAACAGCTTGAACGGCCCCCTCTCCCCCCCCCCCCCCCCCCCCCCCCCTGCTGTGCCGAATCCCACTCCGAGCACGAAAGCCTTGCGAGCCTCCGAATCCTAAGCTTCCAGGAAATGTGCTGAGCACTGCCTGGGTCGGCCGGAACTTCTTCATCGCGCTGCGCTCGCCAGCAGTGAAGGCTCCGATTTTGTGCAAATTGCCTTCAGGGCGTTTGCAGCAGTGGTTCGGCTGCATCAGTGTTGCCCAAGCTTGGGACGAATCCCCCTTGACAGGTGCGTGAGGAGAGCGACGCGCCTGTCACAGGACCGCGTTGCATTGCCCAATGTTGCCCAACTGCCCCATGGCAGTTCACCCAAAGACCCATCAAAGGCCCATCGATTGCCCAAGCCCAGAGCCGAAAGCTTGAAGCTTGGAGGTCCAAAGGCTGAAGGCCCCAAGCTTCGCAAACTCTCTTGCGCTTCGTTTAGATTTCGGAGCTTTTTTTTTAAGGGTCGCAGGTTGGAGGTTGAGGCTTCACTGGAAGAGATTGCAGTCATCCCAGCGAGTCTGTACTTCATCTGGAGCCTGCAGCCTGTAAAAGCTCTGAGCCCTCTCATGATCAAGCAAGGATCCCAGGAAGAGGCGGCTAAGGCCAGGGGGGGACTTGGCTGCGGTGGCAGACTTGGGGGCTTCGAGGGTGGAGTTCTTGGGGCTTTGGGCTTTGTAGGGTTTTTTGCTGTGGGATTTCGAGGGTTCTCGGATTGAACCAACCCACATCTCGGGCGTCCTACATGAAGGACACATTGTTTGGGTCTCATGGCACGTTCTAAGCCCTAAACCCTAAACCCTAAACTTTAAACTTTATCCCTGAACCCTAAACCCTAAACCCAAAACCCTAAATCCTAGACCCTAGACCCTAAACCCAAAACCCTAAACCCGTCCTTCGAGTATGTTCGTTTCAGTTTAGAACTGCCTTCCGCGCAGGTAGCGTGGCAGCGACTGGGCCGCCGAATGGTGCTGGGCCGGGACAACGTGCCTATGCGGTGGATTCGAGGTGATTTAGGGTTCAAGGTTCAGGGTTTGTCACGGTTGCAGCCAAGCGACATCTTTTCATCTCGTGGCTGTCATGGGCGAGAGGGAGGTCTGCCACGAACATGAGTTGTTACCTGCTAAACCCTGGGTTCGACAAGGCTTGAACCCTAAGACCTAGAAAACTCTTAAACCCTAAGCCGAACGTCAGCGCCCCCCGAAGCCCCAAAATGTTCCCAGAGACTCCACGAAAATCTACCCCGCCATTAAGAAATGTTCCTCAAGCCTTAAGCGGCCCCCTCCGGGTCTTCGACCCCACGTTTATTTGGGGGGTTTCTATAAGGGCCTTTAAGACACCACGCCCTGAACCCTAAGGCGGGGGACACTGCTGACCCCCCCGCCCCCGAAACCCTAAACCCTCTACACCCTTTTCCTTACCCTAAACCCTAACCCTAAATCCAAGCCCCAAGCCCTAAGCCCTAAGCCCTAAGCCCTAAGCCCTAAGCCCTAGGCCCTAAGCCCTAAGCCCTAAGCCCTAAGCCCTAAGCCCTAAACCCTAAACCCTAAACCCCAAACCCCAAACCCTAAACCCCAAACCCCAAACCCTAAAACCCTAAAACCCTAAAACCCTGAACCTTGAACCCGCCCCTTCCCAAAGGTCGTCTTCAACAACCTTGGCGGACAGGGGCCTGGCCACCTGGATGAGCCCCCGGAAGCTGGTCCGCAGTTCGCGAGTCGCGTCAGGGTTTAAGTGCCTGGGAGTTTGGGGTTTGGGGTTGGGGGTCGAGGGTTTAGGGATTAGGGGGTTGAGGATTTTTTAGGGAGTAGGGGCTAGGGTTTAGGGTTGGGGGTTGAGGGTTCAGGTTGGGGGGTCAAGGCTTTATTTGCAAGGCGTTTGCGGGGCGCAGCTGTTCCTCTCTCTTGCACTTCAACCTCTCCCTCTCATTCTCCGGCCTTCTTCACAGCAGCTGCGGGGCCATTTTTTCAGGGCGGGGTCTGGTATACATCTGTAGGATTCTTAGGGTTTCCAATTTAGGGCACCTGTTGCATGTGTTTCTGCAAGGAAATCCGATATGCTGCGGTGGCCAGCATTGGGGGTGGTAACATGGATCTGGTGCCGAGCTCAGGGGTTCAGAGTTTCGGTGGTGCAAAACATAATAATAGGTTCACCTAATATTGCTGCGTTGCCCTAGGCGCTTTCGCCCATAGAAGCATGGCTTCGCCAAGGAAACTAAACGGTCAACTGGTTAACCTTTGGGGCCTTGGCAAGCTAGCCCGAGAGCTCTGTTCACACATGAGGGACGCCCTAGGCTCTTAAGCCCTAGGCCCTGACCTAAAGCCTAGTTCCCCCAAGTTCGCGGGGCGCGCACAGGTGCTAACTGTGGGCCGCGGCAGCGATCCGTATCATCCTCAGGAGGCCCCACTGTGATGAAGGTGTAGGTATCAACTTTCTTCTCTCTGGCGTTAAGGATTCAGGTATGAGTGTTCAGGGCCTGGAGCGCATTTGTATCCGAGGCATCCTCAGGACCTAAGCCCTAAACTGCAAGCACTCGGCCTTGAACTGCTTGCGGGATGTCGGTTCTGAGGCTACCTCTGAGTATGGCAGGACAGGTGGATTGCAGGCATTTCTCGCAGGAATGCAAGGCTGCATTACTGGCTTTCGTGCTTCAAACCATAGCCTGGCGTTTCTTGCCGCAAACTTTGCGCTGCAGGCCTCGTTCAATGCAGCTTCCGGGCACATGCGTGCAGCTGTCAGTGCGCCTCGTCGTGCAGTAGGCTTGCCGTGTCATTTTGATGCCTGTCAGGTACCAGGTGGTCGATACATGAGCCATTTGCCACAGCGGTGGTTGCAATAAGTATGCAGAGGCAAGCCTTATCTTGCTACCCCCACGGTCACGCAAGCACAGCCCTCATTACCTCATACTGTCATGTGAACCCTTGTATAGCTGCAGCCTAAAACTCGAAGACCATCAACTACCTCACGTGGCAAGCCCTTCGTCCTTCCCCGAATGTGTGTACATATACAAACATGTATATATATATATACATATCTATGTATGATGTTGCATCAATTTTCAAAAGCGAGAAACAACCCTGGACTCCATGCTCCAACACATGCATCCTCCAAGATTCTAGGGGTTGATTCGGCATGTCACCCTTTCTTAGGACCCAGATTTCTAAACCCACTTCAGAAACTCTAAGGAGAACAGGACAGAGACCGGGAAACTGGAGAATACCCCAACATTTGGTTTAGAACTGCCCGTAAAGCTTGACCTCACCCTGCACCCAACAGGCCCAAACTTGCCCCACAAATGCCCACTACCCTAGACCTTAAACCTTAAATCCTAAACCCCTCAACCCCAAACCCTGAGCCCTAAATTCGAAACCTTAGGTGAAGTCTGGCACCTCCGTCGACCTTCACTTGCGGCTGCAGCGGTCAGAGTCCCAGCGCGAGGCGGGGGAGCCGGGTTTCTTGGTTGAGGGGCCGTGCGGTTGAGGATATAGGGTTCAGGGGCTCAGGGACTTAGGGCTTGCGGAGGGAAGGTTCCTATTGCGAGAGGATCCGACCTGGGTCTCATGTTCAGGATGTTTAGGTTGCCTGTGTTGAGAGTTGAGGATCACATGGGTGTCGCAGCAACACCTTCTCCGTGCTTTGGCCGCCCCAAGTCTTTAAACGCCTTTCGTGGTGCAGGTGGTGATCCCGCGGCTCTACCTGGTCATCACCGATGTGGAGGCAAGGGCTTAGGGTTTAGGGTTTAGGGTTTAGGGTTTAGGGTTCCGCCGGGCTCTTGAGGGGCAGCTCCATGCAAAGTCCAAGCAATCGAAGGCTGCGATGTTTCAACCCCACTAGTTCCAATTCCGAAGAACCTGCTCTTTAACCATGTACACCTTGAACCCCCCCCCCCCCCCCCCCCCCCCCCCCTGCCAAAAAGAAAAAACAAAAAAAAAGACCCTCACCCAACCCTAAACCCAAACCTTCCCCTCAAGAGAGAGTCAGAGGAGCCGGAGCCCTCACTCTCGCCCGCGGCCGCCGCACAGCTGTGGAGCTTTGAGGCAGGGCCAACGCCTTAAACCCTCTAAGGTGTCCTTGAACCCCGACCCTCCCGGTATCACAGGCTCTGCATCATTCGTACAAGCTCCGGGTTTCAGCCCGTCTAAGCTGTAAGCTAATCCCAGGCTGGCCTGAACACAAGCAACAAACCCTGCAGCACGAAGATTCCCCATTTCCCGGCAGTCAGGCGGTCCTCTTTCCCAATGGCACCCACGTGCCTGCTGCCAAGCTCCTTACTCGCGGGCAGGCGCCCTGACAAGTCTTCTTGTGGTTACCATGTATCATAAGGGCTTCCTGAAAAACAAGCAGACGGAGTTGGAGCAGGGCCTGCATTCCCACTCTTTTCACACGACAAATATGCTAAATATGTCTTTAAATCCAAAGCCGTGTATTGTCTCGGATGCCCAGTCCGGGGTTGTTTCGGCTTTAGGTGTAGGTGTTGCGATCACGCTCTCTTTTCTGTTTCATGTTGAACCCCTTGCTGGCTCCTCCTCTTTCATTCAGGTGTTGGAGGTTTCGGGACACAGGGCTCTGGGCTGTATTCTCGAGGGCGCTGAATGTTTGGGTTTGGGGTTTACATTCTGGGGCTCCTATCGGGGCGATTGCTGCAAAAACTCGAAGTGAATGATCCCCGTGCCGGTGACGCAGACCTGGTCGGTGCCGCCTGGTGCTCCCGTGGCCATCAAGTTCGAGGAGGGCCAGGGCGCACGTGAGCGCATTCAGGGTGTTTGGCGTTTGGCCCGCTCCGAGTGATGAGGTTTTCAAGAGTTCTCCGATCGCCCCCCCTTTTAGGATCTCGCTGAGCTTGGGATGACGCTTTCTGCCCGCGGAGAAGGCGTCATGTTTGAGGGCTTTGAGGACCTCCGGGATTCCGGGCTTCCGTCCGTGAGCAGAACGCTGTGGGATGGGGTGAGGATCTCTGCAGGTGGCAGGCCTTGGGTCGGTTCCTTTCGTGATGCCTCTGCCATTCAACAAGCTGCCAGACAGAATGGCACAGCAGCAGTCCATCACGAAGGGCTCCAGTTTTTCGATATTTCTGAGCACAAAAGAGTATGAGGGAGTCACGCGCGAAGATTCCGTAAAAAGGTGGACGCACGATCTTCTTCTCCCTGTACTCTCCGGATGTCGAGGCACTTGGGCTGGGCAAGGGACAGGCGTGCATGCTGATTGCATCCTTCGTATGGTAGGAAGATGGAAGATCCTGGTGGACACCGTATCGCGCGCGCTGACGCCGCATGTAAGGAAGTCTCGGGGCTGTGGCTTAGGGGGAGTCTGGGGTCGGATCTCCTTGCCTTGCCAGATTTCACCCCCGAGAGCGCCGAGGGTTGTTGTCGTTGCTGTGCCTCGGACCAAAGCCCTCAACCCTAAACCCTATCGCATGTTGCGCAGGCCCCATTGGAGCGGCAGAAGAGTGGCCACGGCCCCATTGAGCTCGACCCGGATGCTGCAGGCTGGTTGGGTCGTTTTAGGGACCTTTTGGGGCTCGGGGTGTAGGGTGTGTAGGGTTCAGCATCTGGGGGGGGGGGGGAGTTAAGGACTTGAGAGTGGGCTTCTTAGGGGTGAGTGGGTGAGTGTGTGCAGACGGGTGGAGCCTGATGTTTTCCTAGCGGCCGCGCCGCCACCTTCTCTACGCGAGAGGGAATCAGAGGGAATCGGAATGAAGAGGTGCTTTCTGCTCGGCATCAGCGTTTGGCTACGCAGGATTTGAATTGCAGGGTCAACGGCCCCAAAACCCGAAAACCCATCCAAACCCCGAAGCCTCAACCACCTTGGCCGGCCAAGCCCTAAACCCCCCCCAAAACCCTAAAACCGTAAAAAGCCCCTAGAACAGCACCTCTAAATCACTCAAGAGATGCCGTTCCTTGGGACCTCCCCGCGCCTGCGGCCGGTGCTCTCGGCCCGGTGGCCCTCGGTGGGAGGGGCGCGCGGCCACTCCATCGGAGGTGGGGAGTGCTTCATCTCAGGGTGCTTATCTTTCAGTGTGCTGGGGCGGTTCAGGGTTGAGTGTTTAGGGCTACAAAAGCCTAAGCGTGTCGGGGGGGGCGGGGGGGTTTGAGGTCGGCGAAAATATACACGACGAACATGCTACAGGGTTCTGGATTTTGGGGTGATGGGGGCGGCCTTATGGGGCTCGAAGGCTAGAAACACTCAGCCTTCCGAGGGCGTTGTGTGATCAGGAGCACGTTTTGCGCCTGCGTTTATGTGGACCGAGGTGCTTTCGCAGGAATTTGTCCCGTTCTCGGTCCAGCACCAGGACCACCATGCGACCTCAGGGTTTGAGCAACAGCCACAGCATCTGAAGCGGGACCATGTACATCCGCTTTTCTGGCTTACTTGCGTGAGCACGTCCCACGGCCATTCTGTATTACCCTGATCTGACTTACCTTCGGAAGCAGGGGGGCCAACCTGAACCCTGAGCACAAAGCAGCTGCGTGCAGGACTGAGGGCATTGTGCGTCGGCCTCACGGTTCCTCTCGCCATCCTCCGGGGGCCCCGCAGCGTGCGCAGCCGCGGCGTCGCCTGCCACGCGGCGCTGAGAGTCGTAGATGGGGATTGGTCCAACGTCACGGGGCCTCTTTTGTATTGTAGCCCCTTCTTTTCACACACAAGCGTGGGGGCGTGTCCGGTTTGCAGACAGACAGCAAGACAATCAGACAGACGTTCACACAATCAGACAGACAGCTGGAACCTTCAACTTTCAAAACCCAATCCTGGGTTTGATAACCCTAGACCCTCAACCCCAAAATGTCCCGCCTAAACCCTCAACCCTCAACCCTCAACCCCAAACCCTAAACCCTAAACCCTAAACCCTGAGGCCGGGCCCTGTCCGACCACTATGGGCTACTGGGCCTCCCACGCAGGGTCTCCGACCCTGAGGCCCTGTGGCTTCCGGAAAGATGTAGGGTTTAGGGTTTAGGGTTTAGGGTTTAGGGTTAGGGTTTAGGGCGGTTAGGGTTTAGAGTTTAGGGTCTAGGGCTTCGGGTTTAGGGTTCAGTGGTTCAGGGTTCAGGGTTTTGGGGTTTGGGAGTTTAGGGTTTGGAATCCTGGGTTTAGGGTTGTAGGGCCTGGTTTTTGTATGCTGGAACTTACTTAGGCTATTCCTCCCCTGGTTCTTCCTCGTCTGGGTTTAGGGTTTAGGCAGTGATTTCCTAGTAATACCTTAAACGGGTTGGACAGGAGGAACCAGTAGTCTAAGCCTTCCTTAAAGGGGGTTGAGGGTCATTCAGTGTCTAGGGTTTCATTCAAGTTTTGGGACTTGTGCAGGTTTAGGGTTCAATTCGGGCTTTTGGGATTTAGGGCTTCAGGAAAATGTGCTCCCCTAAACCTTGCTCACTTTCAGAACCAAACGATCTGAACACGATCTCACCCGAGATCTGAGCACGATCTCACCTGCAAGCCCTAGAGTCTGGAGGCCCGAAGCCCAAAACCCTGTGACAGGATATCCAGGCAGCCTACAACCGTGCTGTCTCTTTGGCAAAGGACTTTCAGTTTGTGCGCTCTCTTGGGGGACTGCTGAATGGAGTTCTCGGGATGAGTGATGTGGGCTCGAGAGCCGCTGAGTGATTTCATCAAACTTGTACAAACTCCTCACGGTTTGCCGACTCACACCATCTAAGAAATACTCAACATACCCCTAGGGCATACCCCTTTAAAGAAACTAAGGTGTATGGTAAACTCCCTTTATATTGGTGAATTGGTGAGTTATTCTTAGACACCTGTCCATGTGCCGCACGCTCGCCGCGCAGGCAACTGGGCTCTTTTTTTGCTCTGTCTTTTGGCAGCATGCCTAAACCCTAAACCCTAAACCCTAAACCCTGAACCCTGAACCCTGAACCCTGAACCCTTAACCCTAAACCCCTAAACCCCTAAACCCCTAAACCCCTAAACCCTAAACCCTAGGGAGCGGCAGGAGACGAAGGCATCTGAGCTGCTCCCTCGACTGGAGGAGGCCTACGCCGTTCTCCGCTCCAAGGTTCCAAGGGATCGAAACGCATAAAAGGGCCCTGTATGGCTGAGGTTTAGCCGTTGGGGTTCCCCCCTCAACCTCCCCAAAAGAACAGGCAAGGAAGGGTCCTTTGCAGGAGGGGTTGTAGAGGGTCTTGCAGGGTTTCATAGTGTTTCAGATTGGGACTTTGGAGCGAGGCTTCGCAGGATTTTGTGAGTTGGGGGTTGTGGTGGTGATGAGATAGGCCTCTGTAATGCGAACAGAGTAGTCGGGGCTATCTTTGGTACAAACACGTCGGGCCCTTCGAGCCGGGTTGCCTGCATCCTTAAGCTCTAACAGCCAACCATTACCCTAAACTAAGCCCTAAACCCTCAAACCTAAACCCTAAACCCTAAACCCCAAACCCGAAACCCTAAACCCTAAACCCTAAACCAATGAATGCCCGACAACTGCTCAGCCCCTCCCTTAGATCGGGACGAAAGCGGCGTCTATCATGGACACGGTAACATGTAGGTGCTAGAAACCCTACAGCCCCCTTTGGGATATTATTGTTACGATTATACATCGCCCTTATGGGGTGCAAGAGACTTCCTATTGGGAGTATTTCTGTTCGGAGGGATGACAGGGCCAGCCTTGACTTCCAAAACCCCAATGGTCAGGAGGCCCGGGAGCGATACGACCGGCATCTGCAGGCAGAGCAGGCCTGGGAGGAGGACGTGCGGCTTCCGGCCATGCCTGCCGCCGGTCGGCGATCTATTGTTATGATTATTATGATTGTTCTTCTTATGATTTTTTTTTTTTTTTTTTTTTATATTTTATCTCTTGTTGTTTGTTTGTATATATTTTATGTTGTGTGTGTGGTTGTGGTTTTTGTGGTTTTGGAGGTTTCAAGGTTTCGGTGGGTTTTTCGGAAATCAAAGCCGCGAGCCCCCCAATGTTCCTGGACCCTAACTCAGGAGATCAGCCCTAAACCCCCCAAACCCTAAACCCTAAACCCTAAACCCTAAACCCTAAACCCTAAACCCTAAACCCTAAACCCTAAACCCTAGACCCTAAACCCTAAACCCTAAATTCCCACCCAGGCCTGCTTAGGCCGCACCCATTTTCTAGGGTGCCTGGACCCAGCACTACACCCGACAGCGACTAACACCAGCGCTTGGACTTCCTATGCAAGCCTCAAGAGTTGTGTTGAGCTGGAGCTGCACCTCCAGTGCCGGTGCAGTACCCCGCCTGGGGTACCCCGCCCCCCTTCTCCGATTCTCAAGTACAATAAAGAAAACCTGCTGCCAGGAACCGAAAACGGCTTCTGCACGTCGCCCCGAGGCCCCCCCTCCGGAGCCCCCTGGCGCCGGGCCCCTGCCGGAGCGTGTTCAGGGACCAGGGGGGCCGCAAGGCGATTGCTCAAAAACCCACTACCAAACCCCCAAACCTGCTTTTTTTGACCCCCTGACCCGCTCTGTTCTGGCCCCTGACCCCCCCTCACCGACCTTTGGCCCCCCGAATGGGGCCTGGCCCCCTAACCCCTTTCGTTGCCCGCCCCCCCTCGCCCTGGCCTCATCTGGCCCCCCCTCTCTGGCCCCCCTGTGCCTCCTCTGTTTGGCCCCTGACCACCCACAGCCATGGCAACCTCCAACCCAACCGATCAAAGCATGGGGGTGGGAAGTGGGAATTTAGGGCGTTAGCCCGAAACCCTAAAAGGAGAAAAGTTGGGTGGATGCCTGCGTAAGCAGGGGGTGGGAAAAATGAAACAACCCAACCTTTCTGGTTGTGGTGGCTCCAACTTCAATATACGCCGCCGCGACATATGCCGCCCCCTCACACCCCCTGGGTGTGTTGGGGCGCCATCTCTGCATGACATCTCCTGCCGCGCGGCGAGACGCCCTAAACCCTAAACCCTAAACCCTAAACCCTAAACCCTAAACCCTAAACCCTAAACCCTAAACCCTAAACCCTAAACCCTAAACCCCAAACCCCTAAACCCTAAACCCTAAACCCTAAACCCTAAACCCTAAACCCTAAACCCTAAACCCTAAACCCTAACCTCAAATAGTCCTGGAGCCAAGGTGCGAGGGCCCCTGGACAAGGAGTCCAACACCCGGCCCGGCACGGCCAAGGTCTACCTCAAGACGTGGCCCTGCCGAAGAGGGCCAGGAGAGCTCGGGTCATACAAGGCTGTTCATAGACTGGGGTGGGGTGTCACGGGGTTTACATCGCACATGCCGGTAGATGCAAGAAAGCATAGCTGAGGTAGTCATGTATTGTTTTTCAAGTTTTCAAGGGCCCAAGCTGGAGGCTTGACGACTTGAAGCCTCAGCCGGTTCATCGCCTCCACTTTGCACTCAGAGGGGTTCGAGTTTCCAAGGTTTGGCTGCCAGCACAACCAGTCAGATGGCGAGTACATGCTGGGACAGCTCAGAGAGTATGGCTTCACCCTGGTGGACCAGGTGGAGGACACAGACGCGCTCACTCGCCGCTGTAAGCTGTAGCAGCTTTACGAATGGGAATGCCAACGAGGCAAGTCATCATTCGGACCCGTCATCCGAGTTAGCAAGCCACGCAACCTTTACATGCAGAACGCCCCAAAACCCTATACCTTGACGCAAGACCTCTAGACGCCCATCCCAAGCCTCAAGACCTCGAAATCCTAACTCCGCAAGTCGAGGAGTCCGACGTCTGCGTCGTCAACTCCTGCACTGTCAAGACCCCTTCCGAGATGCGTGGCCTTTGGCTGGTCAACCAGGCCTCTTCTTGCAGTCTATTCGCGGTTTCAGGGTCTGGGGCGCGTTCATGGCTTTCAACCTTGCCGAGGCAAGGTGGGAAGACTCCCCCGCTCACCCCCCCCCCTCCTCCTGCTAGAAACTGCACGCACTTTCGGCTGTGTGGGCTTCGTGGGCCTGAACTTTTTGGGCTTGGGGGTTCCTGGGCAAGTTCCGCTGAGCCTTGGCTTGGTGTGCAAGGCCACGGAGCTGCAGAAGAAAGTCGTGCTTGCGGGCTGCGTCCCCTCCGGCGACAGGCGGCTGTCCAAGAAGCTTCCGCATGCTGCCCGGACTGGATTATGCAGATTTTGCCTCAACCCCTCAACTTCGCCAGCCTCGATCTGGTATCAGGAAAGCTACCGGGTTGCCATGCCCAGTTTGCCATGCAGCTCCATCGGGGTTTTGCCGACAACTTTGTGCGGACATGCCGTTGCACCTAGAGGGCTTCCAGCGGCCTCAGTGTGGCGGGTGACCCCTAGCGGACCTAGCGTGTAGAACAGGGGAAAGGGTCGGATTCTGGCCAAAAAAGCCAAGGTCAGCATGTTGCATGTGACCCAGCTGGACCGCATCGTGGATGTGGTTGAGGAGACGAGCAAGGGCCGGGTGGTGACCTTGTTGGTTGCTTGGCGCAAGGTTTCGGTGGAATGCATGCCCTTCCTAGTTGTGAGCGGTGCAGGCCCCGAAGGCTTGAAACACGTGAGGCATTTTAGGCAATTCGCAGACTGAGCATCCAAGGATAAGAAGAAGGAGGGCCTGCCTTCACTGGCACTACCCAAAGTAAGGCAGGACAGACTGACGGAGATCATCACCATCAATGCCGGGTGCTTGAACTTCTGCACCTACTGCCTTTCGGTGAATCTTAGGCTCTTAGACTCTTAGACTCTTCGAGGGGTGTAGAGAGCAGCCGGCCCAAATCCCTTTGTTTCGGTGCTGCTGCGGGAGTTGAAAGCCATTCGCCTGCGTGCCTCCAAGGCAAGACTCGTGTTGCACGCGGCACTGTGGTGTCCTACCCGGTGGAGGAGATCATTAGCCGAGCGCTTCAGGCCGCCAGCGAGGGTGTCTGCCACATCGAGCTGGCTTCTGAAGACATGGGCGCTTACGGCGTAGACATCGGCAGCAACATTGCCGAGCTGCTCCTGCGCCTCTCAGATGCCCTGCCACCGGGTGTAATGCTCCGGACGGGCATGACCAACCCTCCCTACATCATGGAGCACCTGGATGGGGTCATCGAGGCGCTGAAGCGGCCCAATGTCTACAGCTTCATGCACATCCCCGTGCAGTCTGGCTCGGACGTCGTCCTTGCGGCGATGAAGCGGAAATACACTGTCAAGGACTTCCTGCACCTCGTGGATCGCCTTCGGGAAGAGATCCCGGACATCTACTTGCTGACGGACGTCATCTGTGGCTTTCCCACCGAGACGGAGGAGGACTGGAGCGCCACCCTTGACTTGGTGCGGCGCTGCTGCTTTCACGCAGTCTACGCTTCCCGGTACTTCGCCAGGGCAAATACCCCGGCTGCAAAGCTGAAGCAGCTGCCCCACCCTGTAACCAAGAGGCGCTACAAGGAGCTCTGTGCCCTGGATGCCCTGAACGACCGGAATGCCAGGCTTTTGGGGACCACGCAGCGCGTGTGGTTCGCTGGCACCGACGGCTCCGGCAACCAGACGGTCGGCCGCACGAAGAACTTTGCGAAGGTCCTGGTGCCCAGGGATGACGACCTGCTTGGCCAAAGTGCCATGGTGCAGGTTCTGCGAACGTCGGTTAAGCACGTGGAGGGTGTGGTCTCGGGTGCCGCCTGAAATGTCGGGTCGCCTCCGCGGGATGCTAAGCCTCAAAGGATCTAGAGGTCTTGTCTCGGGTCATCTCACCAGGAACTGCCCTGCCCCAAACTTTAAAAAATCGAATCAAAGATCCCAAGGGCCCTGAAAGCCCTCTACCCGGACCAAAACTTCTAAACAGCCTCACTGACCTAAGCCCTGAACACGCAGAGCCACATCCTCCCCTTGCCTCCCTGACAGGCCAACACCATCCTGGCATCAGCATGCTGCCCGCGGCTTCCTTCCACCACCAGGCGCCATCTGTATGTGCCAACAGGCCCTCGATCCTGAAACCACCCCTAAGCCCCAAGCCTAAGCCAGCCATGGCAGTGAAAGCTAGCCGACCTCTCTCTTCACTTTACAGGGTTTGGGGTGTGTGGCCCAGTAATCTCAAGTTGCTTTGGGCAAGAATAAGTTCTCCCCGTAAACCTGGAATCCCAACCGGAAGCAACGGAAGGCATCCGGCAGCTCTCCGGCCGCCATGGGTCCACTCTTCGCTCTCTCCCAGCACAATGCGGCTTGGAGGATTTTCGGGGCCTTAGCCTTCCTTTTTTACTTTGGTGCCTGATGCTGCAAGAAGAGAGACCCAGAAACGGCTCCGAGTTGAGATCAAAACCCACAAGCCGAGAAGTTTCAGAAAATCTCCTCAAGGGATTTGTATTGCTTATCCCGGGTTCGAGGGTTTAAGGGAGCCCCGGAGTTGTCCCAAGGCCAAGGGGGCACTTCAAGTTTGATGCGTTGCGCTCGTGGGGTCATCAAACATACGGGCCCATTTGTCGGGTCGTCTCGAAAGTGCATGAGTGCATTCCATAGTCTTCTTGGGGTGCCGAAATGAGCCCGTGACAAAGACTCCCCCCCCCATGTGTGCACCCAGCGAAGCCGACGTGTGCTGCTGCAGGGGCCAAGCAAGAGCGAGAGCGCGAGTGAGAAAGATAGCTTTCAACCACAGGCCTCGAGAGCCCCACCATTCTTATTCTCCTAAGTCCTGCACCCTAGGTGGTTCTGGGTTTAGGGTTCAAGTCAGCACCGGCCAAGCTCGTCCACAACAACTTGGGCGCCCGCGGGCCTGGTCACGCGGACCTTCCTCGCGTCATCCGCTACCGCAAGGCCTCACTCATGGCTGGGAGGGGTTTCTCATGCTTGAGCGATTTTCCGGGGCTCAAGCGTTGGTGTGTGAATTGGTGCTGTCTTGTGCGCAGTAGGTGAATTCCAGGGGGCCCTGCTTCCAAGAAGTCCGAGACGCTCCAAAACCTGGGACTCCTCATGTGCTTAAAGCCCCGCGAAGGCTTGGATGCTTGGATGAAGCCTAAACATGCTCTGGACCCTCGACCCATAGGCCCATGAGCCCAACCTGAGAGCCGGAACCCGACAGCAGAGTCCGCAACTCAAATCCGACGCTGCGCACTCCCAGGTCTGCGACAAGGACGGGAAGCAAGTGGATCTGGCCGGGAGCCCTGAAAACCCTGGAGACTGCGTGAACTTCTGAGGTATGGACAGGTGCTTGGTTGGGAATGAGGGTTTAGGGTTTAGGCCTTTAGACGATGTAAAGTCATCAGCGTGTCACAGGTGAAGCTTCTTCGGTCAGGTTTGATGTCCTCGACTGCAATGTAGCAGAGGGTTTGCCGTCATGGGCAGCAGGCGGCAGGCTGTTAGCCACGTTGCGAGGTTCAGGGCTTCTGCTGCCCGATGAGGCCTCTGAGTCGAGACCTGCTGCTTCTGTCCGACTTGGGCCGAGGTGATCGAAGTGGCCAAAGGGTCCTACCGCCCAGGCATGGATGTGGAGTCGTTGAGTTCAGGAAAGCGAAATTTCGGGACGCCTGCGCTTGTTGCAGTGGCTCCACCACATGTGGGATGTACGCTTGCTTGCATCAGGCAGATGCAACATGCTTCTTGACGTCTTCACATCCGAACTCGTGGGTTTAGCACCCCTCAAGCCCCGAAGCCAGGCCCTTCTACAGCCCAAGGCGCACCAGATTACCACCCTCATCCCGAGGCTCCGAAACCTAAACCCTCCAAACCCACCTCAGCCTGAGCCCCACAACAAACAACCCAGGTTGAATTCAAAAAGCATCCACTCCACTGTCGTGAGCAGTCAGCCTCTTTTTCTCTCTTTCTCTCAGAAGCAATTTCCACTGGAACCCTCAACCCGCAACCCCCTGCAGGGCGTGCGGTGCTCAACGGCCTGGTCGGCGGCGTGCACAACGCAGCCCCGGTAAACGTCCGGCTCTCAAGTTCAAGAGACGCTTCAGCTGATGCCCCAAACTCCAATGCCCCAAAGCCCCCGAAGCCCCCCAAAGACCCCAAAGCCCCTGAACCCAAACCGCTTCCACAACTCGTGGCCTCTGTAAGGGGAGGTTGCGACCCGACCCTTTCCCAAACCACTTTAACCCTTTAGCCCTCAGCCTTCAACCTCAACCTTCAATCCTAAACCCCAAACCCTAAGCCCCCCAAGAAGCCCTGAACCCTAGCCCTAAGCCCTAAGCCCTAAGCCCTAAGCCCTAAGCCCTAAGCGCTAAACCCTAAACCCTAAATCCTAAACCATAAACCCTAAACCCGAAACCCTAAACCTTAAACCCTCTCTACCTATGTATATTTAAACCTTAATGGGGTCGTGTTCTGATTATGATTTTTTGAGGCTTTAGGATTTAGGATTTAGGATTTAGGATTTAGGATTTAGGATTTAGGATTTAGGGTTCAGGGGCCTCTCTGGGGAGGCCCGGCTTCGTAATTTAGTATTCGGGCGAGGCCCGGCTTCGTAATTTAGTATTCCGGGGAAGCCCGGCTTCGTAATTTAGTATTCCGGGGAGGCCCGGCTTCGTAATTTAGTATTCCGGGGAGGCCCGGCTTCGTAATTTAGTATTCCGGGGAGGCTCGGCTTCGTAATTTAGTATTCCGGGGAGGCCCGGCTTCGTAATTTAGTATTCCGGGGAAGCCCGGCTTCGTAATTTAGTATTCCGGGGAGGCCCGGCTTCGTAATTTAGTATTCCGGGGAGGCCCGGCTTCGTAATTTAGTATTCCGGGGAGGCCCGGCTTCGTAATTTAGTATTGCGGGGAGGCCCGGCTTCGTAATTTAGTATTCCGGCGAAGCCCGGCTTCGTAATTTAGTATTCCGGGGAGGTCCGGCTTCGTAATTTAGTATTCCGAGGAGGCCCGGGGACTTGCTGGGAGGGGCCGTTTTGGTCAAAAATCCAGAAAACGAGAGCCCACCCGGGACCGTCGATTTCAGTATTAAAAAATCACATTTTAAATAGGGACCCGGGCCGATCCTGGGGTCCCCCTCATTTGGGGTGTTTTTGGAGGCAAACTTTCCCTCTCAAGGGGGGGTCGGAGTTTGAGGCAAGGGGGGGTCTCCGAAGACTATTTTGCCTTTAAAATTGAAAAATACCACCCCCCCTTGACCAAAACTAGGCTGTGAAAAGGTCGCGGGGGCGGCCCTTCGTCAGCATTGAGGCTTAAAAACACTGAAAAACATTGAAAAACATTAAAAGACATTGAAAAACTCTGAAAAACTTTGAAAAACCTTGAAAAACTTGCAATCCTGAGGTGAAAGCTCCGTTTTGGTCAAAAAACCCAGAAAACGAGAGCCCACCCAGAACCGTCGGTTTCAGTACTAAAAAATCGCATTTTTAATAGGGACCCGGCCCAATCCTGGGGTCCCCGGTGTTTTTAGAAGCAAACTTTCCCTCTCAAGGGGGGGTCGGTGTTTGAGGCAAGGGGGGGTCTCCAAAGACTATTTTGCCTTTAAAATTGAAAAATACCACCCCCCCTTGACCAAAATTAGGCTGTGAAAAGGTCGCGGGGGCCCTTCATCAGAACTGAGGCTTAAAAACACTGAAAAACATTGAAAAACCTTAAAAAACACTGAAAAACTCTGAAAAATCTTGAAAAACTTGCAATCCTGAGGTGAAGGCTCCGTTTTGGTGAAAAAATCCAGAAAACGAGAGCCCACCCGGGACCGTCGATTTCAGTACTAAAAAATCACATTTTAAATAGGGACCGGGCCGATCCTGGGGTCCCCCTCATTTGGGGTGTTTTTGGAAGCAAACTTTACCTCTCAAGGGGGGTCGGAATTTGAGGCAAGGGGGGGTCTCCGAAGACTATTTTGCCTTTAAAATTGAAAAATACCACCCCCCCTTGACCAAAACTAGGCTGTGAAAAGGTCGCGGGGGCGGCCCTTCATCAGAACTGAGGCTTAAAAACCCTGAAAAACATTGAAAAACATTGAAAAACTCTGAAAAACCTTGAAAAACCTTGAAAAATTGGAAATTTTGAAACCGGTGTTTTGGTCAAAAAATCCAGAAAACCGACGCGGCTGTGTATTATCCGTGTGCCGAATTGACTAGACGGTGCCGAATCGAGACAGAATGTTGCGAGCTAAATGATCAACTAAAGTAAGAAAGAAGATATGTAATTCAGATGAAGAGGGATCTGGGAGGGAGGGGTGATGCCAAACACGTATGGTGATGACAAAAACCCTTAGTGAATGCTTGGACCAGAGATGCTGAACCCTAAACCCTAAACCCTAAACCCTGAACCCTGAACCTTAAACCCTAAGCCCTAAACCAACCAGAGGTGGCCCTGGGCAGTTCAGTGTCGCTGCGGCTGCGCCTCGTCGACTCGCAGGCCGTGTCTGCAGGGGTTTACAAGGTTAGGGTTTCGGCTTTAGGGTTTGGGTTTTTTTGGGGTTTTGGGGTTGTATATGGGGGTTTAGGGTTTAGGGTTTAGGGTACGGGCGGTTTAGGGTTTTTGGGGGGGGTTTTGAGGTTGTATATAGGGGTTTTCGGGTTTAGGGTCTAGGGTAGAGGGGTTTAGGGTTTAGGGGGGTTTCGGGTATTTTTGGGTTTTTTGGGTTGTAGGGTTTTTGGGGATTCAGGGTTTAGAGTTTTGAGTTTTGGGGTTTAGGGTTTTGAGGGTTGAGGGTTTAAGGGTTTGCAAGGGTGTTTGGGGTCTAGTCTAAGGGTCGTTTATAGGGTTCCAGAAGAGGTTCAGAAGGGTTTGTTAGGGCTTAAGGTGTGCGGTTGAAGTGGTTTAAGGAGTTTGGGGTTTAGGGCGGTGTATTTCAGCGTTGAATTGGTTGGATGCGCAGGAAGCGTCCGTTTCCTTTGACCGACTGTACCTCACTGTCTTCGACGTGCAGGACGAAGCTGGGACAGGGGCACGGCGCGGAGCGGTGTGCAAGTTACCAATCTGCTGTCTATTGACCCTACAGGTGTTGATGACACAATCCAGTTCTTTTCCGCCGAACGCGTAGAGTTCACATTGTGACACTTGGATTTTCAAACTATTCCCAGCATGGAAGCTAGGTGACCCAGGTGTCTTGTGCGAGACTTTGAAACGCAGGATCTGTTAACAGCTCTTTGGGCATTTTGCGACAATGAGGAGCATTTCACGGATTTCACGCTTGCCCTTCCCTGAACATGGTTCCAAGGCGCAGGATGACAGCCCCCTAAACATGGCTCGAAGGCGCAGGATGACAGTCCGGCGGCGGTATCAGCGAGTGATGAGGCGAGAGGGCAGGGATCCAAAAGTTTGCCACAATCATTCCGGAAGCACTCACAGGGTGCGACAAGAACCTTTTGCAAGGTTTGAAGCTCAGATTTGCTTGAGATTTTGGGTTTCCACATACGGCATGCAGAACCAAACAGTGCCCTCGCGGCAGGTAGAGGTGCGTGGCTTCGAGGCGTCCAGCGATGGGTGCTTGTGGAATCGATGCATTTGCCATGGGGTTTGAGGACTTGAGAGTTTAGTAAATTCGGGGCTCAGCCTTTCGTGTTTCAGGGTTCAGCTCTGGGTTCTGGTGCAGGGACTGTTCATACTGGAGTTCGGGCCTTGGCCAGCCTCTTGGAAGGGCGGGAGCCGTTGGGAGACGTTGCCTTTGTACTCCTAGCAATGCCACAAAAGAGTGACTGCGGATGAAGTGCCGAGAACCGTGATGGAAGGGTAGGAAACAAGCTCGTATTCCAAAGCGCGACATACCAGTGTATAAATGACGGTTGCTTCTGGGCCTGCCGTTTGGGGAAACACAGGTTTTCAGAAAGCTTAGTGGCTTCCGTCCAAAGCCTTGAAACAGCCGCAAAGCCCCAAAGGTCCCCCAACGTCCAGGAAGCCCGGTGGCCCAACCGCACGCGTGTGGCCCTGATCCCACGGGCAGAGCAGGCCGCCCCGGTGGGCAAGCAAAGCCCCCAAACACTAAACTTCTAAACCCCTAAGCCCTTTCCTCTGAACCCCCCCCCAAGCCCTGAACCACTATGCCGGTAGTGAGTCGCAAGCCGCCCCTGAAACCAGCTAATCCAAGGGGTCCCACCCAGAACCTCCCAGAACCTTTGCCTTCGGCTACAAAGGTATCGGCTTCCAAAATGTACACGACCCGTCAAAAAGACCGTAAACCTAAACCTGAAACCCCCAAGCTCAGAAGCTCCTGAGCTCTCCGTCTCCTGAAGGTGTGGCCGGTCCCGCAGGGCCCGGCGCCGACTTTCTTCTTCCGTCATGCTGCCGAGGTGGGATCGGGGGGGGGGGGGTTATGGGATGTAAATGGGGGTTTGTTCCCAAGTCGATCTCACGGGTAGCCTTCGCAAGTTAGCTCCTTAACACCAGCACCCTCTAAGGCTCGCTACCCCAAATCCTCTGATTGCCCTCTGCACTGTTGGTGTTCGGGGGAGTCCAGGGCTTCTATTCAAATTAATGTATTCTGGAGAAGGCTACAGATGGGGGTTTGCGAAAATCGGGGACTCCTGAAAAGGACCCCGAATAGTAGGAGTCGCCACTATAATAAGGACCCCAATAAAGTACGCTTCGATGGCTTCTACGAGCCCCCTGAGGCTGTTTAAGGGTCCGTCGTCCCTGGAAAACCTTGAAATCTTAGTTTACTAGCCGCGAAAGGCCCCTACCCGAACTGAAAACCTGCCAAGCAAGGGTGAAACAGGGCCGGCTTCATCGGGCTACACCTCAAGCCTGAACCCTAAACCCTACACTTTGCATTTGCAAGATCCCCGGGACCTCCGCACACCTGAAGCCAATGTCGGGTTTTGCGGGTTCGGAGGTTCGGGACTCGGGGTCCGGAGGTTTTAGCCACGCGCAGAGCGCACGCAGCCCGAGGTGTCGCTGCTGCTGAGGCCATCCAAAGCGGCAGGACTCAGTGTCACAGCCTCTGCCCTCATCCACTGCAAAATCCTGCGCCTATCCCACAGTCAACGTGCGACAGTCCTTCCGCACGGTTTGGGAGAACCCAACCACTGCAATGGTTATTTGGGGAAAAGGACGCTCCAATTGGGCCCAATCCGTTTAGAACAGCCGCAAACTAAACCTAAACCCTAAACCCTAAACCCTAAACCCTAAACCCTAAACCCTAAACCCTAAACCCTAAACCCTAAACCCTAAACCCTAAACCCTAAACCCTAAACCCTAAACCCTAAACCCTAAACCCTAAACCCTAAACCCTAAACCCTGTTCAAGTAGAGCCCTCAGGGAAAAGGCATCCCACCTTGGAAGGAAGCTTCGCCACGGGAGACTGGGAGGGGCGGACCTTTTTCCTGGAGCTGCGTTCGCCAGAGGCTCCTAGCACTGTGCACCCTAGGGGGGGGTTGATCTAGAGTCAATAATCCTATTTCGTACCCTGAAGTCTCAGGATTATAGTCAATATAGTATAGTAGTACCTCAAAGCACCCATCATCTTGATCACCCACCCCTCCTCCATTCCTGATTCTTCACCTGCGAGGTCATAGCAAGGCGAGAGTGGGAAACACGGAGACTGTGTCCCTAGAGTAGCCCGATAGCGCAGTCATCGTGTCGGGGCAAGCCTTACGTGGGCTTTGGGGGGGGCTTTTAGGAGGATGCTTTCCAAGACTGGGCTTCGGGGCTGAATTCCGTAGAAGGGGAGTAAGCGAAGAGATGGCCAAGGGCCGGGCAATGCTACGAAAAGAGCGGGACATGTAGAGGTGTCTCGGATCCCCAGCTGTCACAGCAGGCCAAAGAAGTGGAGACGTCCGCAGGCGGGCTGGGCCCAGGTGTTCAGAAAGCTGAGGTTGACCAGGTTGAGGGCTTGCGGTTTCACACCCAACTTTACTCGTCCTCGCTGTGAGAACATGTCGACAGTAGGATCAGCTGTGGGTGCTTGCTTCTGTGGATGTTCGACTCATGACTCACTGGTCTCGGCATACCGGTGGCAGTGCGTTCTAGTTTGCCGTTCGCAAGAAGGTTGAGATCTCACGACGAAGTTGTTTAGCTGTCCCAGTAGTAAGAGATGTGGGGAACAATCCCACTGCACCGAAAAAGGACATCGTGCACCATGAGTCCCTCATCCTCTACCTCTGAAAGCCTATTGCACCCTGGCGCCTTAATTTCCAGCACCCGAAGAGCCCCAAGCCCCAACTCCCCACTCCACCGAGTCGGAGGTCACCTCTCACACGCCGTCCTGGCCTCCAGAGCTCCGCACCCTGCACAGGGTGCCAAGGCTCTCGGTGGGTGCACCTTTGGGAACTTGCAGGGTTCTGGGGGATCTGGGGGGCCTTGCGGATCTATACAAGGACCCACGCAAAGAAGCTCTTTCCCACCGGAGCACTACGCTTGGTCGCCCCTCTGTCCCGCGACCCCCTTCGCCAGCCTTGGCCCCTTGGGACGAAGTTCAACCTCGTTGAGAAGAATGCCGCTGGGCCTCGACCACTTAGAAAACATGCATACTAATTATAGCATACTAATTATATTACTTTTCTTATTATGATCATACCATGTCCAGGTTTCCTCTGGGGCTTAAAGGTCTGTCTCCTGGCGTACAAGCTTGTAAGGGGGTACGAGTTGCAGCCTGGGAAATTTGGGGTGTTCGTGCGGCGCCTCCAAAATTTCCAGAGCCCTAAAGCAGTAATTTACACATGAAATAATATTGCGCATAGTAGTAATATAAATATAATATAATAATACGAGCACTACATGACCACATACGACTTTCTTCCTAATGCTTTCTAAACTTTGGAATCATGATATTATATCCTCGCGGGCACAAAGTTGATTATAAAATTTGCCCGCGCCGAAGATTACAATATAAAAAACTATTTAATGGAAAAGATGGTAGAGCTCCAATATTAAAGAACTGAATATAGTTAATATAAGAATTGGAACTTCTTTGTTCCTGAAGCTTCATGGTTTCCGGCAGTCCCCTCGACCATAGGCGCAAACCTTGAATTGTAAGCCTCGACGCATCCCAGAGCCTATGGGCCCTACTCCGCACGACAATGGGACCCCAAGAAGGACCCTAATTTAGGGTTTAGGGTTTAGGGTTTAGGGTTTAGGGTTTAGGGCCCCAAAATTTAGCGAACGGCCCCTACAACGTCCTAAGCCCCAGATCGTCTACAACAACCTCGGGGGCAGAGGCCCCGGCCACCTGGATGACCCCAAGGCAGGGGCAAGGGTTGGTGCGTGGGATGCTGACCCTGTAGTCCGCAAAGAAACCCGAAGCCCCCAAAACCTAAAGATCCCAAACCCTAAACCCCTACATAAAAGCAACGCCGTCAGTCCGTGTGTTGGGCGAAAACGCGACAAGCTCGAGGGTTTGCACCAAAATCACCACTGCCACCGGGCTTTCGTGTGATTCAGGGGTTCAAGGGTTGGGTTCTGAGGAGGCCCCCAGCTTCCTGCATTGGCCGATCAATTGTTCTCAAGCTTGGTGGCAAGCTTGAAGCTTCATGAAAATGTCAAAATTAAGCTGCCGTTCAGGGCTTGATTCTTCGCGCGGCTATTCCACCATGAAGGCATGAGCCGGTGGGTGCGTTCAGGAGATTCGCTACTCGGACGTGGCGCAGCAGGACGGCAAGTCGATCCACGTCGTGGGAAGCTCAGTCAGGATTTGAGACGAGCGTTTGCTCGTGGTTTGCGGGTAGGCGTTCAGGGTTTAGTTGTTATGATGGCGACGACGACGACGGTGATGATGGTGATGCTCGTGGTAGTGGTGCTGGTGACTATGACGACGATGATGGCGTGCCGATTGCGTGACGCCGCTGCATCCAGGGGAAGTTGCCTGACCTTGAGGCTGTTCTTGCATCCCCACCCGCCCCACCCTCGAGTAGGACTCAGACGCTGGAGGGTTTGACTCTGCCCAATAAGCCCTCGAACACCAAGGCCTTCAGCACCCCCAGCGCCTACCTACCCCAGCGGGTTGCCTTCAACGCGCTCGCGGGCCATCGCAGAGCTACGGCCATCAATGCCAGGGCCTTGCGAGCATCCTGAAGCTTCAGGAGTGTAACAGAGTGTAACAGAGTGTAGCAGAGTGTAGCAGAGTGTAGCAGAGTGTACTGTAGCATCTTGCCCTTCTTCTTGAACGCAAGAAGTGTCGGGGTTCAAAGAGCTGTGCCACATTTTGCCGACGCATCGGGTGTAAGCAGGTGGCTTTCAAGTCTTCCCTGGACCTTGAGATCCGATTCATCGGGTGCCCACCCACAGAGGTGGGGGGAGGGGGGGGGGAGTATAGGAACTGGTAACTATGGTACGAGAGGGTGGACAGCCAGAACAGCTGACCTTCTACCTCATTTGGTATTTCAAGATACCTGCAACTCCAAGGCGTACTGCCTTTTGGCGTTTCAGGTTTCTTTCTTCTTGCTTAAGAAATTGCATGAGTGTGCTTGCTCATGACAGTCAGCTTACGCACGCCCCTCTTCCCCGCTCTTCGTGAAGTTCTATACTATACTATACTAGTATACCCTCAACCCTGACGCCACAAAAGCGGAAAGCTGTTTTGGTGAAGAAGGCAGTCGATTGCCCATGGCTCCATCTGTAGGGGAATCTTCGGCCCGAGTGTACGATGCACTCTTCCTGACTTGCACCACTCCCTGGCTGACGGATGCTCTCGTTCTTGTCCGTTTTTGCTTCCCAAACCTCAGCACTAAAATGATGAACCCTAAACCCTAAACCCTAAACCCTAAACCCTACACCCTAAACCCTAGACCCCTAAACCAACCCTCCACTGCGTCCGAGCTTTCAAAGCCAGGATCCTGGGGAGGCGCAGGAGCCTCTCCGGCTGCCGCGCGTCTTTGTGACGGTCTTCGACGCTGAGGCTGCGGGGTCTGTATATATATATATATATGTATACATATACATGTAGATGAAAAGGAAATGTATATGTATATGTATATGTATATGTATATGTATATGTATATGTATATGTATATGTATATGTATATGTATATGTATATGTATATATGTACTTTTGATGGATTTGATTTTGATTTGGTCTGGTCTGATTTTGATTTTGATTTGATTTGATTGATTGAGTGCTGACAACTGGTACATGTATTCACATATACTGCAACTGTTTTTTGCTTCTTGTGGGGCCTGGGGGAGCGACAGCAAGGTGGTAGTTGCACTGGTGGTGATGTGTGGCCTGATGCATGACAGAGTTACAATGCTTCGTTCCTGCTCGAGCCATTCGAATCGTAGTATGAAACCTGCAAACCCTGATGCTCGCGAATGTTATGGTCCAGATGTTCTCCCTGCCATATAAACACACACGCACACGGCTTTTTCACGAAAGCAATCTGCCAGGATCCGTTCCGTGCGTTGTCGGCAGATGGCGAGGTCGTGGTCAAGAATTTTCAGGACCCGGCCAACCCCAACTCAGTCTGCTACACTACAAGAATCCGGACACTAAGTACGGCTTGCAGGGTTAAGGATTCGGCTCACTTGACTTGAGGCGGACCGTCACCTGGTTGGCGGTTGGAGCGGTTAGCTTTGGGGCCGAACGTTGTTTCTTTGTGGAATGCCGTGGCCTTGTGTACTCTGCCCTTTGCATCAGAGATCCTTGGGCTGCAGTTGATTTGGAGCGACGGCTTGTGGGCTAGAGAAAATCATACGGGAACCCAGGCGAATAGGCCTAGAATAGGCCTAGCTGTATGGATTGCCGATCGGGTTTTCAACGCGTTGAGTTCATAGCGTCAGACCTTCGTCCCACAGGTAGCAGGGAAGGAGAGAGCTAGGTACCCTGTGTGTCGCCCTTAAAGAGCACGCTACGCCATGATCCCAGTAAGAAATTCGGTTGGACAGGCTGCCACCTACTCAAATGGAACATGGCTGCCCAAGTCCCTCCTTGGTGAGGCTGTGGCGGAGGGTGGAAACTCAGATCAGTCCCAAGCCACCCTCTGGACCTGAAGCCCCCAGAGCAGGGTTTCCTTCTTTAGGGTTTAGGGTTTAAGGTTTAGGGTATAGGGTTTCTGAAGCACCCAGAGTGAGCTGTTCTGCTGTCCTTCTGTCTCCTGCGTCGGAAGTGGTTTCAGTTCTGGGCAAGGAAAGCGTCGGACAGTAGTGTGGAGTTTGCCCTATGTGGGAGAACGTAGCCGGACGTGTCGCGCCAAGGAAGCTCAAATCCTCAACCCAAAAACTGAGCACAAACCCTGCCCATCCGGCCAGCAAAGACCTCTGAGCCCCGAAGCACACTCACATTCTCCCTAAAGCATTGCAGCCTAAGCCCTCAAAGCTGCACAGTAAACCCAAACACCCTCCCTGAGCAAACGAGGATAATCCTGGTCAGGCTTGGGCAATTCCCCAGGGCGCGGCACCAGCGACGGCCTCGGATGAGGGAGGGCTGTTGGCGGGAGTCTGGGACTCCAGGAATGGGGCCTTGCAGACCTTTGTTGTGTGGGCCTAAACCGTGAACCTTAAACCCTAAACCCTGAACCCCAAACCCCGAAGGCTGTCGCCTTCTCGGACGTCAGCCGGGTGTTTCTGACGCTGAAGCCTGGCCCAGCAGCAGGCTCATCATTATGGGGTTTAGGGTTTCGAGTCAAGAGAGTCCTGGGAGCAGCATATGCTGTCGTGCCTAGCCTGGGGCTTAAGCTTTTGGGAGCGAGCGTGCCATCACCATGTACCATCATGTACCGAGATTTGCTTCAACCGCGTCGGTGGCGCTGTTCCCGCCCGCAGTCGTGTGCAGTCGTGTCAGATCCGCTCCAGGTCTAACGTTTTCGTGCCGCCAAGATCCCAAGCGTATCCCGTGTGTCAGAGATGAATGTGGAAGTGCCAAGGGCAAACTCGTGCTTCCGGAGTTGGGGATTTTGTTGCGGTTGCGCTCAAGACACTTGACATGTAGTCGTCGGGCCTAGCAGTCAGGAGGAGGAGAACGAGGAAGCAGGAGCATGTACAGCAACAGGTAGTCGAGTACATGTGGTTTCCACGGTTGGGCAGGTATAGCCCGCTTTGGGGCATTGCGCGGGCACTCTTCATCCGAGCCCAAATTGCTACCCGGAGCCGCTGTTGAATAAGAGTGTATCTTTGTGAAGACCACCATGAATGCAACCTCGGGAGTTCTGAGCCAAAGAATGATGAACAATTTCGCTGCCAGCTGTCAACTTTTGAAATGGGGCACTCTGGATGCAGCCGCAATTGGAAAGAAGCATGACAAAAGAGCTGCGAAAACCCAACGAAAACAGTCATCCCTATTGTCTACCACGCCAAATCTCCAAATCCATACCCTAATAGGCTTCGCCTCTCCATGCGAGAACTTATCCTATTGGTCAAGTTTCCATTGCTGGGTGTGCATTTGTACCTATATATAAGCAAGGGGTTTAGTCCGGGTTTAGGGTGTGGCGAGCTGTGCTTCTATAGCGTCACCAACATGGACTGCAACTTAGAGATGTGTGATCATCTGACCTCAGGATGGCAGGTTTCTTGTCAGGCCCAGCAACCCAGAAGCCATCAATCCCTAAAACCTTTGGGTGCCTCGTTCAAGACCGTGTGTGCCCCCAACCTTGACCAGGGAATGCCATGAGCTCCCAGTGGGTCGGGCGCACCTTCTTCGTGGCTCTCTCCTCGCCAGATGCTACGGTTGCTTGCCATCGCAGGGCTCGGAGCAGTGGATTCCAGGGATTAAAAAAGAACAACAACGATAGTACCAAGAATCAATAATCATGACGATGTTTCCCGGGATCAAGAGTAGCAGAAAGAATGGCAATAATATCAGCAACAAGCTTGTTTGCTGCCTTCCTTTTGGGAGCTCCCTTGATCTGGAATGTCTACGCGAGCCCAATTCTTGACAAGCCCACCGTTGCGCCTTCATGGTTGATGGAACCCCGAAGTGCAGGTTGCACACGTGGGGTGGGATCGAATGCTGAGGCTTTCGAGGCCTTGTACCAGCAGCCACCGGACCAAGAGTTCCACGCAGGCGTTGGCAGCAGTTTCGGCAATGCGGTTCCCGTAGGCTGCCTTGACATTCCTAAATGCTAGGCGTTGAGCCTTTACTCGCAGTTATGCAGTATATGTTTCATACTGAAAACACTAGGATTTGTACCAAGAACAACAAGTACATTGACAATAGGAAATGACAATGCCAGTGACAATGACAGTGAGAAGAATAATCGACTACTGCTACCACTACAACTATAATTACGACTACTAGCAATCAAGGGCTAGCTATCACTTTCCGACTGCTGTTTCATGAACTACTCATTACGAATGGATAACTCCTAGCTGCTAGCTACTATTACGACCTACGACCAGCGACCTACGACCAGTTACCAACTACCAAGTACGAACTACCAACTGCTAACGAGCCATTACTAACTACTAACGTAGCAACTACTAGCTACTAATTACAACGACGACGAGGACCATCACTGCCAGTACTACGACTTCTGCTACTGCTACTGCTACTGCTACTGCTATTGCTGCTGCTGCTGCTACTGCTACTGCTACTGCTGCTGCTGCTGCTGCTACTGCTGCTACTACTGCTACTGCTGCTACTGGTACGAGCAGTAACAGCGACAATAGCAATAAGAATGCCAATCACAATAACAAGCGCCAAAAGACACTAGGCCTCCGTGGCTACTACAACTAAGAGTCATAATCGTGAAAACGGCAATAAGCATGCTGGATACAGATAGTGGGAATGACACAACAGCGACCTTTACGGCCAAAGCTGGGCCAGGCACCCAGCCGCCTGCGCGTGTCACGCTGGCGCCGCCCCTTGCTCAGGAGGCATGAACGGGAGGGGAACGACGGGGCTTTAAGAGTTCATGCAAGGTGCAAGGTCAGGGGTACCCTTTTTGGGGTGTCCTAGAATAAGGATAATCTTGTATTTGGGGGTACATTATTTAGGAATCAGCATGCAAAGAATTGATTTGAGCCCTCAAATCAAGGAGTTCAACGAAGAGGGACGAGTGGCTCAGTTGCCGATGTGCTTTGTTGTGTTCTGAGAGCCGGTTCGGGGCTGTTCCAGTTCCATCTCCGCTTGTTGTGAGATTTTGTTGCAGTCTGACCTTTGTACATTCCCTTAACCCTAAACCCTGAACCCTGAACCCTGAACCCTAACTAAACCCTAAACCCTAAACCCTAAACCCCAAGTGCAGTCTGCAGAGATCAGCCCAATGCGCTGATGAAGGTACCTTCGAATCCAGATATTCCTCAGCCGGCTTGTTTCAGAAAGGTCTGGTTGCGTTTGAGTACCTGAACTGTTTCCAGTGCAATACATCAGAGACACCAAGAGTGCTTCCAGAAAAACAAGGATGCCCAGTCTGCAAATACGAAATGAAGAAGCAAAAGAAAAAGCACAACACCAAAAGTCACAAGAAAGTTCGAAGATCCCGATTTTGAGACAGACTTGCCGAAACCTGACTTGATTAAAATGGTTGACGGTCAGGAACATTACTACTGTCATGCTTGTAGAAATGGTATGCTGGCTTGTATGTGGAGAAGCCACTGCGAGAAACCTCATGCTATTTTGGGAAATGCCCATATAATATCCCGTAAACCCTACACCCTAAACCGTAAAACCCTAAGCCCTAAACCCTAAACCCTAAACCTTAAACTCTAAACCCCAAACCCTAAACCCTAAACTCTAAACCCGAAACCCTTTCAGGACAGGCATGTCGTCTGGCGACACGCGGGGGCGCAGCTGGCCCTCTCCGGTGCAAATGCAGCTTGACTTGCCAAGAGGATTTGGGTGGTTCGGGTTAGGGTTTAGGGTTTGGGGATTCGGTCCCTTTTTGGGTCCCCCATATAATACGGCACCCTGATAATCCCTTCCCCCCAATACAAAAGGCCCCCCGCCCCCCGCAGTATAATGACCCCCCAAAACCCCCAAAAGGGTTTTAGTAATAGGGGGGGTTCTTACCGTTTGTCCGAACAAAACAACCAGTCGTTCTAGCTTGCTGGCTCAGCCATAGAGCAGGTTTCAAGCTTTAGGCCTACATGAGTTTCAGGCTTCCCCGCCCCCTAATTCTGTAGAGATATTAAAAGGGACGACTGCCGGACCGGGTTTTGGGGCCAGAGGGATTTTTATATTGGGGGGGTATTCATATTAGGGGGAACGGATTAAACAGGACCCCCAAAAGGGACCCTAGTTTAGAGAACTACCCATTTAGGGCCTTGGTCGCCAGGGTGCATGGTTTTACAGTCTGAGATTATCGTCTCCAAGTTCGAGATGTCAAGCGTGTCACCAGACTGGAGCAGGTGTCGTCGGCCAGTTTGAGATGGCATCGTCATCTGCGTTTGCAAGCTCAACATGGCCGATCAAACTCAGAAGCTTAATCCTTGTCCCTGCAGCAAACGCTCTAAGGAACCTTACGGGGGGAATAACAACTACCAATCCTTTCCTGGGGGGGGGGGGGGCTCCACTCAAGACAGTTCTTAAAGTTCAGGGTTGCCAAGAAGGGCCCATAATTTATGAATCAAACCCATGTGCTCTTCAGAGGTCGTGGTGAACAACCTGGGTGGCCATGGTCCGGACACCTCGCAGCCACGGGACGGGGGGAGGGGGAGGGGAGGGGGAGGGAAGGGGGAGGGGAGGGGGGAGGGGAGGGGGGGAGGGGGGGGGGAGGGGAGGGGGAGGGGAGGGGGAGGGGAGGGGGAGGGGAGGGGGGAGGGGAGGGGAGGGGAGGGGAGGGGAGAGGGGAGGGGGAGGGGGAGGGGGGGGCGGAGGGGGGAGGGGGAGGGGGGGGGGAGGGGAGGGGGGAGGGGAGGGGAGGGGAGGGGGGGGGAGGGGAGGGGAGGGGAAGGGGGGGAGGGGAGGGGGAGGGGAGGGGGAGGGGAGGGGGAGGGGAAGGGGAGGGGAGGGGGAGGGGAGGGGGAGGGGAGGGGGGAGGGAGGGGGGGGAGGGGGGGGAGGGGGAGGGGGGAGGGGAGTGGGGGGGGGGGGGGGGGAGGGGGAGGGGGGGGGAGGGGGAGGGGGGGAGGGGAGGGGGGGGGAGGGGGAGAGGGGGGGAGGGGAGGGGGAGGGGAGGGGGAGAGGAGGGGAGGGGGAGGGGAGGGGGAGAGGAGGGGTGGTTTAGGGTTTAGGGTTTAGGGTCTCAGAATTTTAAGGAATGTGTCGGGTTCAGGGCGTGTGCTGGCAACCTCTACTTGTTCCAGCATGGCATTTGCCTCGACCAGCCCTCGCTGACAGATCCCTGGTGTTGACATGACGTCCCAACGCTGATGTGTATGTGTATCCCTCCTTTCAACATCTCTTGAGCCACCCCGAACCCCAAAGCCCTGACCTGATGAATTCGAGGAGCTTCGTTTCAGAGGTGTCGGCCAGACTTCCCAGGGGCAGGTGGATGCGGCAACCCGGCGGAGACATGTGACACCCAACCTGCGCCAATGGCCCCCGAAACCGAAATCCTAGCCTAAGCAGAGCAGACACGCAGCGAGGACCATCATGCTATGGCAAGAATCGCCAAAACCTTGCACCCTTGAACTCCAACTTTTGTGGCTGCCTTAAAACCTCAAAGCTTGGAGCATAAACCCCGTCAAGGTCCCGAATCCTTTGGCCGAAACCCCCTTTTTTCCCCAAAAGCAGTCCTCCCTAAACTCATACACCTTTAGGGTTTAGGGTTTAGGGTTTACGGTTGAGACACCCCCAAAATCCCTTAAACGTCTGAGGTGCTCCGGGTGCCCTCTGGTGGGGTCTACTGGCCGAAGCGCCCCGCGCTGAACGGCCTCGTCGGGGACCACGGGGCGGCCTCGGTGAACGCCGCCGGACGCAGGATTTGTGCGTGTAGGGTTTAGGGTTTAGGGTTTAGGGTTTAGGGTTTAGGGTTTAGGGTTTAGGGTTTAGGGTTTAGGGGTTGTGGCTTCCGGCTTTGTCAACTCGGGTGCCCAGTAGCACCTTTTTTTCATCGAAAGCTCTCTCCCCAGAACCCCAAAACCCGAAAACCCCCAGAGCCCCCCCCCCCCCCCAAAAAAAAGCATGAAAAGCACCTAAACACCCTAAAAACAAACCCTAGAACCCTAAGCCCAAACCCCGACAAAAAACCCTAGACAAACCTGAACCCCAAATCCCACAAACCCTAAACCCCTCAGAAATCGGTCCCAGCTCAGGTGGCACAAGGCCACGAGGCCGACCTGGATCTGCTTTTCGTGCGCTCCGCGCACGACGCGCAGGCGTCTTGGTCTTAGGGTCGTAAACCTAGGGTTACGGGGTTTAGGGTTTAGGTTTGTGGGGTTTAGGGTTTACGGAGTTTATGGGGTTTAGGGTTTAGGGGCTTTAGAGTCTAGGGTCAGGGTTTGAAGGGTTTACAGGGTTTATAGGGTTTAGGCTTATAGGGTTTAGGCTTCTGCGGTTTAGGGTTTAGGGGTCAGGGTTTATCGGGTTTATAGGGTTTATAAGGTTTCAGAGTTTTAGGGTTGTAGGGGTTCAGGGTTTTAGGGTTTTATGTTTTAGGGTTGTAGGGTTTGAGGGTTTTGGGGTTTTAGGGTTGTAGGGTTTGAGGGCTTTAGGGTTTGAGGGCTTTAGGGCTTCAGGGCTTTAGGGTTTCAGAGTTTTAGGGTCTTAGGTTTTCAGGGTTTTGGGGTTTGGGCTTGGGGTCTTAGGGCTTTAGGGTTGCAGGGTTTCAGAGTTTTAGGGTTTTAGGTTTTCAGGGTTTTGGGGTTTGGGCTTAGGGTCTCAGGGTTTTAGGGTTTTTGGGTTTTAGGTTGTAGAGGGTGTTAGGGTTTATAGGGTTTCGGGTTTTCGGGCCCCTTGGCCCTTAGGGTCTTGAGGGAGTTTGGGGCTTAGGGTTTCAGGGCTTCAGCTTTAGGGTTTTAGGGCTTTAGGGCCTTCGGGTTCTGTGTTTAAGAAGGGCTCATGGCTTCGTTTTGACTTTTTTTTTCGGGTTTCAGGGTTTGGGTCTCCAGGCTTCAGGGTTTCAGAGGTTTCAGAGGTTTCAGGGCAACGGTTTGAGGGGTCAGGGTCTTGCTTTGAAGGTTTGCGGCTGAAGTGTTTTGGCTGGAGCTGGGTGCAGAAGTTGGGCCCGCGAGGGCTGAGGCTTTGCTCAGGATGTGTGTGGTCACCTGAAAATCGTACAGGGTTCTGGGTGTATTTTCAATTTTTTCGGTCCGTCGTTCCATTGGTTCCGTTGCGTCAAACGGCTGGAACAAGAAGTGCACACATCGACGCTGCTGAAAGGGGCCGTCCCGCTTGAGAGTGCCGGCAAAACAGGAAGCCGAGAAGGCCCATCAGCAGAAAGTGATTGCTGAAGCCCTCGTCTTGGATGTGTACATGCCAATAGCCGGTCCACCACCGGCCTCATCTTAGGTTTCAGGGCGGAGAACCCTGAACCACGGACCTTAAACCTTCAATCCAGAGCCCCAAGCCGCAATTCCACAGAGTTTGTTCTCATTTGCCGCACCATGGTTGCAAGCTGTGTTTCCGCACTCGAAACAGTCTCCACTTCAACTGCACCAAACTGCATATCTACTCAAAATGATCCCCAAACACAACGCAGTGTAAGCACTTGGGCTGTAACATTCCAAACAGAGGCAAACGGCCCAAAGCGCGCTAGCACGCGGCGCGCTCGGCACTGGCAGCCAAACGCTCAACCATACACGGGGGGCTTACGTTTTAAGGGACCCCAAATAGTAGGATCCCCTTATAATAAGGACCCCAAGAAGGTACCCCCCTAACATCGTAAAAGCCTCGCACTGTCCGAAAGAAGCTTGAGGCCGGCGGCACTGGGGAGGTGGTCAAGTTGCGGCGGCTCTTTGTCTCGGTCTTCGACTCCGAGGACTGGGTTCAAGGTTTTGGGATTGATGGTTCAGGGGGTTTTGCGTTGCCGTGGGGGGCTTTCAAAGGCTTGTTTGAGGGCTTCTATAGCTTCTTGGCACGCTCTCTTTCGGATTCGGGGCTTGCAGGAGGTTCTGAAGAACCCTGAAACGCCCTCTCTTTGGGGCTTTTTGCTTTGGGGCTGACATGGCTTGGAAGAGGAGACAAGCCGAAAAGGCCCACATGAGGCCCCTGGAGGCCGAACTCGCATAGGGTGTAGTGGGTTTCCCCTTTTAGGGGATTCTATTTGGGGTATAAAAGGGGTACCCCCTATTTTGGGAAATACCCTTATGGTGATGCCAGGATCCCATTCCGAGCATTGTGTCTTCTGGGGAGATCTTCATGAGAGGCTTCGAGGCCGGCTCCGATTGCAGAAGGGTCCTGCGCCTGTGTTCCATTTAGGGGGTGCTCTTGAAAAGGGGTCCTCCCTAGTAACAGAGTCGCCAAACCCAAGATATCAACCTGAGGGGTCCAAGGCAGAACCCTATTGCAAGCAGAGCGACGTTGAGACACAACACGCGCCTGCTTTGGGACTTGAATCCTGTGCCAACGCATGCCGTCGGGTATCTTCATAGTGCCGAGAGACAGCGCAGCAATGCTACAGATGCTTAAACTTACTATTGGGACTTTCTGGCATGCCAAGCGGCTTTCGAGATGTCCTGACCCGATATGAAGCTCTCATTGCGTCCCCCGCTGCCCTAAGCCCTAAACCCAAGAACCCAAAAAACCCAACATCCCGAACCCACAACCCCAAACCCTGGGTCCATACTGCTTCCCTGGCCCGGAACCTTGAACCCGAAACCCCTAAAAGCCTGAACCTTGAACCCTAAACCCTAACCCTAAACCATAAACCCCGAACCCTAAACCCTAAACCCTAAACCCTAAACCTTAAACCCTAAACCCTAAACCCTAAACCCTAAACCCTAAACCCTAAACCCTAAACCCTAAACCCCTAAACCCTAAACCCCTATGAGCCGGGGCTTGCGCCAGGCAGCCAAGTGGCCGAACGGCACAAGCACACCGATCGGGACCCTTGTCCACCCAAACCAGGCCGATAGTCACAAAGTCCTGAACCCATGATTTTAGAGGGTGTATAGGGTTCAGGGTTTAGGGTTTAGGGTTTAGGGGTCTATAAGGGGTAAGGGACCATGTAAGAACCCTGAGACCCATCTCATATCGCATCCTGAGAAAAAAGGTGGTAGGGTTTGGTGTTCTTCGGGTCTTGCACCTTCATGCCCGTTCGTTCAGGAAATCACAGGAAATCTGTGTTTATACGTTTATGCACACATATGACTAACCGTAGTGTTCATACCTTGCTCGCTGCGAATGGTTCCCAAATCACCTCCCTGCGGTGTCTGTTACCTAGATAGTCTAGGTGTCCTTCTGAACTGCACTTCGTATCTGTACAGCTCATCTGCAGACGGAGAAAATGTTTGCAGCAGAAGTGTTAAGGCTGCTACGGAGGGGAGGGAGAGAGCAAAGGAAGGTGCTGAGCAAATTTCAGATGAATAGCCACAAGTCTATAACCTTCAATTTCCAGCTGCCCCAGAAAGCTGATTCCTGCAGCCTCGGAGCAGTTGGTGTCGGCACGGGCCATATGCTCTCTTCTCACGTCAAAGTCGGCTTGTGGCTGGTCAAGAATCCAAGTGCAGTACCCTGGCATCTGACACAAGTGACACAGGTTGCGCCGGTATCGGCTAACGCCGACACTGCTGCCATGCCTATTGTGTTTGCTGTGAGCATCCTTGCCAGCCGCAGTTGTGCGGCCATGAGCCGCGTGCGGCTAAAACGCTCAAGACCCAACAACTGTGAGCCAGTCATCAGATGCCGTGACAGTTTGACGGAGCCCGTCAGCGAGGCTCTGACACGGCTGAAACGCTACTCCGGATCAATTAGGGGAACCGTTTTGTCCGAAAGAGCCAGGGAACGGAATTCCAAGTGGAAAGAGTTCATGGATCGCAATGGATTGCGTTGTCAACCAAAGGCATCCGCGGGATGAATGTGGATAAGGATTTAGGGTTTAGGGTTTAGGGTTTAGGGTTTAGGGTTCGTAGCAGACCTTGGTTACCGGTCACATGCAGAGGAGCTTGTGCCATGCATTGCCAAGTGCTGGCTTGCCAGTTGCATGGGACCTCTGACAGTTTATCCCTCTGTTGGCGCCATGAAAGAAATGTATTCTGCCTCCATTGGGCACCCACGCAGTGCGTCATGGACCACAAACGAGAGGGATCTTGCTTTCCTGCTTCCTGTGGGCTGTTCCAGAAACCCTCCCAGGTCCACGTACCGAGCTTTTGGACAGAGCCCGGGACCTTTCATGCTGAGAGACTCAGAAGATTTGGCTGCACGTGTGCTCGAGAGACTGGGTTATTTGGACGACGACTTGAACTCGGATTTCTGTGAGGCGGCGCTGGTGTTTTCAAACGCAGCAGCCAGTAAGTGTTCTTTGCGAAAGCTCCGCTTGATGGTCGATGGGAAGAGCACGCCCGCTGTCATCAGCCGTGGCTTGCAGACGGCCTTCCTGTCGAGTCGTACCATAGGACAGTGGCAGCTGGCGCCATCAGATGCCCAAGTTCGCAAACTCTTGAACAACTATTTGCACGCACGCGCTGCGGCAAAAAAACGAGGTGCTGAAAGCCATGCAGGCATTATGCCAAGGACCACAATCTCCCACACATGGAGACCTACAGCGGCAGGGTTTGGCAGCTGGTGTTGAAGCTGAATTCTAAAGATCCACGACGCCGAGATGTGCTCAACATGTAGATTGGCCACGTGAACCTCAGCTTCCTGCGAGGACTCATCACTGAAGGAAGGATCCAAAAACCAGCGGTTCATACTTGAACCAGTGAAAATTGCCAGGGCCAGAAGTCGAAGACACAACCTGGCATCACGAATCCGCGCAGCTGGGACGTCGCAGCTCCGCACCCGGACCCTGTAAACCAAGCTGTCAAGCCCTGGGCCTTCACGCGTCAAGTGACGCATCCCTGTCGTTCTTTATACACTCAAAACATTCATTAAAAATATTACATTCATATACAGCACTCAGCAGAAGAAGAAGAGCAATGATAGTGATGCTAGTAGTAGCTAGTACTATCTTGGTTTTGAAGTTCTACGGGAGCCGAAGGCGTCTTCCGTTTCCAAGGCCCCTGGTACGGCTTCGAGAGCAGACGGGTCCTGGACCTAAGAACCTAACCCCCAAGTCTTCAATCCAAAGCCCTAAAGTCCCTGAGTGCTAAGCCCTTGGAGGCCTGGAGCCTCCCCAGCGGGCCAGCGCCGCTCCTCGAATTCCGCGACGTGCACACGGTGGGGTCGAGGGTTTCGGGTTTCAGCTTGAAGTCGATTTCGGCTCCTGAAATCCCTCCCCGCCCGCCCCCCCTCCCCCGCATTTCCGCGTGTTCGGCCCTGTCGTCTGCTTTGCATTCTCCTTCTGTGTTGCGAGGCTGCTCCCGGACAGAACAGCAAACCACCTAGTAGTTTTTTAGGTAGGGTTTAGGGGTTTTAGGTCGGTTTTAGGTTGGTTTTGCTGCAGCAGGATGAACGTGCGACCCACTCTGCTAAGTTAGTAGCAGCTAGTTCCGTGGTCCCTTTTGAAAGGGCAACCCCCTTGTTTTTTTTATTAGGCTCCCAAAACAACATGGCAGCCTCCTCCGGACCCATTTAGTAGTAGTATAAATGCAAGCGGCATGTAGATCACTCCGTCACGCCCCATGTAAAATGGACTTCATGCCAATTCCGCTACTCCGCGGTACGGTGCTTAGTTAATTTGGTAAGCTTCGGGTAGGTAGGTATGTTTTACGTAGGGTTCTCGGTTTAATGTTAGGTTTATTTAACTAGGGTGTAGGCGGCTGAGGGTTTCAGGTTTGATGTTAATGGTACGGCGAAAATCAAGCTTGACTAGGTTTTAGTTTCTTTGTAAACCCCGAAATCAACCGCAGGCCTTGAAAATCCGAGATTGCCCTAAACTACCACAGACTTCCCCGAAACAAAACATCTTGTCTCGACATCCAGGTGTCCATCCGGCTCCGGGCTCTGGAAAGCCCAGGCCGTCTGGACGCCCCAAGAACCCCTAATCCTAAACCCTAAACCCTAAACCTCAAACCCTTAACCCTCAGTCCTAAACCCCCAAGCCCCAAACAACCTCATCACCAAGAACATTTGGTGCTTTTGGGTTCCTTACAAGCTCAGGTTCTGGGGCTTATATAACTCAGGGAATTCGGGAGCTCTGCCGCTCCATTCTCCTGAAGTCCCAATTCTGACATCCTCCTTCCGAAGACACCTGAACCCTAAACCCTAAATCCTAAATCCTAAACCCTAAACCCTAAACCCTAAACGCTAAACCCCAAACCCCAAACCCCAAACCCCAAACCCCAAACCCTAAACCCTAAACCCTAAACCCTAAACCCTAAACCCTAAACCCTAAACCCTAAACCTTGGATCTCAAAATCCCAAATACCAGGGCCTAAGCCCCCCTGAAGCCTTCGACCCAGGAACTTGAAAATCAACCTCAGCCATGGCAAGCCAGACGTTCCCCGAGTCCGGAAACCTCTCGTGAGTCTATGGCTGGTTGATGTTAGGAAGACCCAAAACCCTAAACCCTGCCCTAAACCCTAAACCCTAAACCCTAAACCCTAAACCCTAAACCCTAAACCCTAAACCCTAAACCCTAAACCCTAAACCCCAAACCCTAAACCCTCAACCCGAAACCCTAAATCCATCCCCCAAAGACAGGGAACTCCATGGGAGGGCTCTGGGCCGGCCGGAACTTCTTCATCGCCGTGCGCTCTCCGGATTTGCAGGCAGATGTGGGGAGGATTTGGGGTTTAGGGTTTAGGGTTTGGGGTTTAGGGTTTCAGGGTTCTGGTACCTATTTGAGGGTTTCATATGAGAAGGATTCTGCTAGCTTGGGGTATACAAGGGGTATCAAGGGGTACACCTATTTTTGGGAAATGCCCACGTGGGGGGTTGGAATGTTTTTTCTTTAATTAAGCCCTTACCGAAGGCCCGTATGCCTTCCCCATCCTTTTTTTCACCCTAGCACTACCACTGATTCGCCAGTAGCATGCCTTTGGCGTACTCTGTGCTGCGATTCCGAGTCTCCAGAGTCTGAAAGATCATGAAGGCCGTGATTTGTGAGAGATTACCGTTCCCATACATGACTGGGTCTCTGGCTATCTGCTCGAAGTGCAGCTAAGCGCTGTTGCGCCAGCACTGGCACCAGCACCTGCAACTCCGAGTGCTTTGGCAATTTGGCGAGGGCAGCGATGGATGAACGGTGACCTTGCCATCAAGACTTTGAGGTCACACAGCTGCTTCAGCAATGCGCTTGTGGCGACAGCAGACTGACGCCAACTACCAACATACACGAAGAAGCGCCGGGTTCATAATGAGGGTGTCGCCACCTACGGATCAGCTTCTCCGTGACCGCGCCTTGCGACCCGGACCAGCACACACCCGAACCTACAATGCCAAACCCTAAAGCCCCCCTGCCGCCCTTGCCCCCGCCCTCCCGCATGTTTGGGATCTAGGTTTTAAGCCCCGCCCCTTGTGCTTGGGCTTAAGGGCAGCTTGCTCAAACCCTTCCATCCAGAGGAGGTTGCGAGCCACGAGAGGAAGGGGCCCATCGCCGTGCTGCCGAGCCCGCACTTGCCGAAAGGACGGTGAGTGTAGGGGTTTCGGACCCTAAACTCTAAACCCCAAGCCCTAGACCCTAGACCCTAGACCCCAAACCCTAAACCCTAGACCCTAGACCCTAGACCCTAACCCTAAACCCTAAGCCTAAACCCTAAACCAGTTTAGGAGCTGAGGGAGGTTTGGGGGACTCCATGGCTTTAGGGGTTTAAGGTTTTAGAGCCCACACGAATGTTTCGCGCACAGGCTTGAGGATTTGGGGTGTTCACCTGCGTGTCTACCGGTTCAAGGCTTGGGGACTTGGGCTTTAGGTGTTTAGAGTTTAGGGCTTAGGGGCCTGCAGCAATGTTGAGATGCGAAGAAGAACTCGGTCACACCGTTCAAGAACCTGGAGCTTCCAAAGCCCTGGCGGTTTTATGGGTTTTGGTGTTTAATGAGCTCAAGACCATGGGAAGGCGTGGGATGTTGGTGTTTGCAGGTCACATCCGGCGAATTTGGGATTCTGGGGGGGGGGGGGTGCAAGAGCTGCATCTCAAGTCCGCCACAGCTCCTCTGGCCGAAACCTTGTGCCGCGCAGGACACTTCCAGAGGTCCCAGGCGAAGGCCGGGTGGTTGACCTGCTTCTAGTCTTCTAGTGATCCTCTGTCCTTTCCTGCACGAAGTTTACGGTTTAGGGTTTAGGGTTTAGGGGTTTCAGTCAAGAAAGGGCACCTCCAGGGGTCTCAAGGGGCCCTATCTGAGAGCCACTTCCGGCCTTCACAAGCTGAAGCCAAGTGCAAACCCCCAGATCCCCAATTCCAGATTGGCTTTGCAGCCCCTTTTGGCACAGGTGGCAGTTCGAAGTTGCAGCCCTTGAGCCCTAAACCCCAAAGCTGAACTAAAGGGTTCTTCTTCCTTAAGGTTCCCTAGAGGTACCCACCCCCCATGAACCCTGCTCCCTTAAGAACCCTGTAACCTGAAGATTCGGTTTTGCAGTTGCCCTGCCAAGTTGAGGGTATCCCCTCGTTGGGATGAAGTTCGGGATTGGAGTGTAGAAGCATGAGACGTTTTGCCATGTTTCCCGTAATTTCGGTGGCCTTGCTATGGGAGGGACTGCATTGTTTTGTTTTGTGTTTGATTTTTTCAGCTTGTGCTCCGGGGACATTTGGGGTCAGAATGCTATCGGGAAACCATGGTGAAGATAGACAGAGTCCTGGAGACTGCGCCAGCATGCTTTTGGCTTTCAGTAAGCAGCTACGGTCAGAGCATTGTTTAGAATCTGTCCCTTGGGAGTTGCTCGCAACGCGGCCTCTGGAGCACGTGTGCCGGAGGCTTGCAAAACTCGTCTTTAGCTTTAGCTTCTGCGGCCCAGTTCTCAAGGAAGCACTCACCCTTGTGCGCTTTCAGGTGGACGCAGTAGCACCCAAGCACTATGGCGACAGCCTCCTCCTTACTGCTCAGAATGCCCGGGGCCCGGCTTCGTGTTTTGGTGTTCAGGGTGATGGCGGGAGTGGGCTCCGGGTTTCAGAAATTTGGTTCCGCTGGGCAGCGCCATCTCAGCCCGAGTAGCTTGCACATTAAAAGAACTAACATGAGCCAAAGAACGCCCAGCCCCGAAGATGCAACCTGCATCGCATGAAGCAGCAGGCAGAAAACATGAAGAGGAAGAAGATAAAGACATCCATGTGAGGTTTGTATCGCTTACTCAAGGTTCTGTGTTCAGCAATGAAATCAACTGCTTACATGTCCCGCTTGAACATAGGCTTCCTTGTTCCTTCCTGGCAAAGACCAACGCAGCGGAGTGTGTGTTAGCAACTGCCTTGCTCCTGAGGCAGTTCTGGAATCTTTTCTGCTTGAAGGGCTCCGGCAAAGAGTCATGCGGGGGCGTTTGGCGTGGCGAAGCCCTAAAGTCTTAAAGCCCCAAACCCGAACCCGGAACCATGACCAGCCCAGGACACTTCTGGAGGAAAAATACAGGGATCACCACCCTATAAACCCTTCTGAACCTTCAATTCAAAAACCCTGCAACCGTAAAGCTCTAAGCCCCTTCATTGCCAGAGCCCTCGGCAAGATTGTCAGGGGTTGCAAATTTTTCGGTTTTGGGCTCATGTCCAAGCAGGCCGAGCATTCCGACGTGATAAGGTTGCCGGGCACCCTAAATCCGAAACCCTAAACCCAAAGCCGAAACCCGAAACCTTCTATAAGCTCTAGCCCCAAAAAACCTCAGTCCCTTCAGGTCGTGTACAACAACCTCGGGGGTGCAGGGCCCCATACGGACGAGCCGCCGGTGCTTCGCTTCGACCACGCCGGCTACTTCAACGGCCGGCCCCTGGACGTGGCGCCCTGCTGGCTGCAGGGTTTCCGGGGTGGGCTGAAGGTTTTAGGGTTTTTGGTTTGGTTTAGGGTTTAGGGTTTCGGGTTTGGGGTTTAGGGTTTGGGGTTTGGGGTTTGGGGTTTGGGGTTGAGGGTTTTAGGGGCTCGAGCACCACAGGGTTCAGGGTGTCGGGGCTGCTGAGACAATTTCGGGGGTTGGGAGGGTTGAGGATTCGAGGGCAAGGGGTTTGCAAGAGAATCCTAGGGCCTAAAACCTCAAAGCCCCCCCCAAAACCCCCAAAACCTAAACCCCTAGCCCTCGCAGCAGGTTGCTACTCAGTTACCACCCTTGACCCCAAAGCCCTAGACCCCTAAGTGAATTCAGTGGATCTCAACCAAAAAAAAGAAAGACATCCTTAGATGACCGCATAGCCGACGAGCCCAATTACCCCAGTCACTTCCCCCTAAACCCCTAAACCCTTTCCCCCAAACCCCTAAACCCTAAACCCTAAACCCCAAAACCCTAAACCCCTGAACCCCAAAACCCTAAACCCCTGAACCCCTAAACCCTAAACCCCTAAACCCCCCGCAAGCACCAGCAAGCTGAGGTGCTTCGGGCCCGAGGTCCTTACCATCCCAAGAAGCCCGAGTTCAACGGCCAGCTCGGGAACGACTTCGGGGCAGCCGTCAACGAGCCTCGGGGGCAGAGGATGTCGGAGGGGGTTTGGGGTTGGGTTCCTGAGTGTCTTGTTTTCCTTCTTATATTTTCTGTTATCGTTTTTGTTTGGTGTGTGTTTCTGGGGGTGCGTACGGATCAGGGGATTTGGGGCTTTTTGAGGTCTGGGGCCTCTTGCTTTTCGCCCGGAGCTTTCACTTTCATCCAGGTGTCAAGGCTTATCGGTCTTTGAGGCACTGGTAAACACACGTACTACAGGGCATATACGAGATTACAGAATAGGGGTTGTAGGCACGCTCCCCTTAAACAGCTTTGGTACACAACGGATGAGCCACGCGCAACAGTGGGTATCTACACCTCGGCCTTAGAGGGTTTGCTGGGTCTCTGGTTGAGTTGTTTGAAGGTCTCCTTAGCCCTCTAAGTTGTGCTGGCGTCTTGGGGGAGGTGGCGCTTGGAACCTCCCTTGATCTGGAGATCTCCTTAGAGCAGCACTTGCAGGCGACTTGGGCTTTCGGTTTAGGGTTTTGGGGTCGTTTCCTTTTTGTTTGTTG